TTAAATACTAAGCCCTGTAGGTGCTTCTGTTTTACAATCCCAGTATGTTTGTTACTGCCTGAAGAGCAACATCTCTGAGCCTGCTGTGAAAACTGTACAATCAAAGCTCATTTGCTCAGCTAAACGGTACAGAGGCCCCCATTAATGTCCCACCTGTGCTTTCCTGGTGTGACATGTGAAACTATGTGGCAAGGTAAGTCTCCTGCCAAGCTTCCATATGGAGCCTTTTGCAGCTGCAAGGTGACCCTGGCTCATAAACAATGATTAATGCTTGACAGATGCCAAAAAAGAATATGGCTAGAAGAGATGGCAAGGAAAGGTACATTTTGTTATGTGGCACAATTCAACAGCTGGGTGATTCAAGGTGTTTTACATAGAGCATTACAATATAATTGAAGAAGAATCTGTAGAATCTGGTGAGGACCATAGAAAGCTGCAGGAGCACACTTAAAAAAGAACTGTACTCTTTAAGAAGCTGACTTGTTCAACTGAAATACTGTTTGAATGTTTATTTGCGTGATTTCCTCATGTTGCATCTCAGAGATACCAAATAAGAGCCTCCGTGAGTGAGGGGTTCCTAAGATAGATTGGTGACTCCAAAGAGGCAGCTGGCAAGCTAACTCTCTGAAAAAGCACAGGAATTAATTATTTTTCATTGCTTTTTGGGCAGTCTCTTCCCTGCAGAAGCTGATATGGCTCCCCCACACAACACAATCAGCAGACTCAATTTCCTTCGGGAAAAAATTAATTGTCATGGGCCAGTCAATGAGACCATAATAGCTACAGAACTTTCCGTTTTTTTTCTCAATAAATGATGCAAACCTTTATCCCAAGTGAAGTGAGTGGTTGGTGAGTTAAGATGCAGGGGTAGCTCCACCTAGTGGGTCAGCAGTACAGCTAACCGGTGTTTCCAAACCCTGGTCCTCAAGAAACAACACTTCTTCACAAAATGCCACAGAGACAACAACTGATATTTCCTCATTTCATTGCATTTATACACTGTATTCTCAGCTCTGTTAAAATGTAGAGCCACTTTTGATTTCTTTTTATCTCAGTGAAGGGTTAAATAAACTAGCGTTTTTCTTGAAACATGATTCCACTGTGGACCTCCACACAACCTTTTTACTTTTTTTGCCAGGTGAATCACAGTCTTATGAAAATTAATCATGTGTCACTGTTTTCAACTTGGCATGAAAAAGGATTGCCGTGCCCTCAGCTGTGTAATGCTTATCCTTATGCCAGTGACAAGCACGTGCCTAGAAAGTGCACTTGAAACAGGATTCCAAAGCTGGCACGCCCTCACTGCGACAGGATGCAGGACTACAAAACTACCAGATGATGACACAGTGGGAGATGGAAAAGGAGCAGGAGCTGGTCAGTGGACGGCCTTTGATAATCAATCACTATCCAAAACAGATGTTACTACAACCTCGGAACGGGACATTTTCAGCTTTTAAGGCAAATGTAAATTATAAAAAGTTAAAATGTTGAGTTGTTGGAAAAGGTAATGGTATCTTTGGCTCTTTTTAGTTGGGAGTTACTATAATTACATCACAGTTTCCCGCACATGTACACACAACATGCTAAATTGGTGCTGGAAGAAAGATTGTTTGCGCTATTTTCTGATCTGTGAAAGCTGGACAGTTGCTTTCATGTAAGCAAGCACAGTTTGAAATCATATTTGGCATGCAAAAACACAAAATCTCAAACATGTCTGAAGCATTTCAAGCAAGGCAATCAACCTTTGGCAGTATGGTAAAACAAAGGACACGTGATACGAAGATGGTATTTTATCTGATATTTGTATTTTTTATAATGATTCCAAAATGTAGAAAACATATAAAAACAGCCCCAGGGAGAATAACTAAAAGTGTATCCGTCATTGTGCAGTGTTCTTTCCAGGGGATGAAATGGAGGTAGACCTTTGAAAAGAGTCAGTAAATTGGAGACACTGTGTATAAATTTTTAATGACTGTGGTTCCCTTTGGAGAGACAGATATGCATAAAGAAATTCCATAAAAACCTGGATGAAGTGTTTGAGCTGAGACATCTTTATATACTGAAGTGCACATCCATTTCAAAGTGTCATTATGACATAGAAAACTCTTCGTGGAACTATTGGCTTTGTGGCTTTTCTTCTCTTGTTGAACCCTCTCTCTCTCCCTCTCTCTTCCATTATAAATATCAACTGGATGCATGACAGGCTAGATGTATACATCAGGAAAAAAGCCAATTCAGCCACAAAAAAGCAAATAATGATCAAGTTTAAGATATAGATACGTATGGGTTTGGTTTTTGCAATGCTTACTCATTATCGGTCTCACGATTGCTTTCATTTATCTTCTCAACTAACAATCTAGAAAACCATCCACATAAAATAACAATCACAACAGTTCTTATACATTAATATCTAATATAGTTTTGTTAAATATTTCCTCCCTACTATTATCATGTAGAGTGTATGCGTACTGTGCTTGGAAACATTTAATTTACTGTGTCTTTTCTTTTGCAGCTAGTGTAGCGCACCATAGGGGTCAACAACCTTATGCTGCTTGCACAGCAGAGATAAAGAGTACCACTTAAACAATTCAGCCAATGTTTTCACTCAGTTCTATTTAAGCTCCACAGCCAGCTTTGGAAGAACCAGTGGGCATCATACCAATCCCTTTCAACTGGAGCAACTAAATGTAAATAATTGGATTTCAAACTATTTTCTGATAAAATGTTCAGTTGCTCAACAATTACACATAATTACCAATGCAAATGGTCTCTTGGTTGTTACTTATGAATCAAACAGATTATCCTTCTTTGCGTTCATGCACTCAGCGCTATATGCCTTGGGGTGAACCATTAACTGCTGCATAGTGTAGGGTAGCTGCATCTCTCTGCTGTTCACTTCCCATTGCTCATGCCCTACGTTCCAGTCACCCAACAGAGATCAAGACCCTACTGAGGTGCAAGCATTTAATTCAGAATGCTGGAAAATGCAAATCATTTTCATCTATATTTGTATTTTTATTTTAATTTCTGAAACAACATGATGTATTATGTCTAAACCAGACAGCAAAGTCTGAGTCAGAGATGGGTATATGGGTACCCATCTGGATAGCTGTACATGGCCAGATCCCAAAAGAGGGAAAATACCACGTAATCTAACTATGAGTCATGCCTACAGTGTGATCTTTTTTGTGATCTTTTTCAACTTCTCTGTCTGTTACATTTTCATTTCATTACTCAAAGACATTATGACTCAGATGAAGAACGAACATACTCTTTCTGTTTATAGATGTGGATCAATACGAACATAACAACCCATGCGAGTACAGAGACCAACAACATACAATGTAAATGACAAACAAGAGTGTTGATATTTGTGCAAAGACCGGCCATTATCTACAAAACAGCAGAGGCTCATGTATCAAAAAATCTTCAATCTACACAACAAGCTTGCACTTCATCGGTAAAACTATATGAAAAAGGGCTTGTTGTAGTGTTTTTTAAAGGTTTATTGATTAAGAATAGTTAAGTCAAGGTGTGCTTACATGTGCTTGGGAGAATGCGATGTATTTATAATAATCCCACAAGTATTCATACAAGTAATTTTTTTTCATTTGAAAAAACATTGCAGCACTATGTTGGAAAATTCTATTGAAAATACATTTGTACTGCATCAGAAAATGTCCATTCTCAAGTGCAGCGTTTGAAAAAGAGACACTGTGGCTGCAGAGGTAATTTGCTTCCTACAGTTGAATGATCTGTGCTCAGTTCATGAGCGCTTCAAAATAAAAACGTATAGGTTCAGATACAGAAAAAAAGAAAAAAATAATTACCAAACAGGAAGCTGTACGGTGGCAACATTCTGTAAGACATAATTTCCCCCCTCCAACAACCACTTCGGGAGATGCAACATTACCAGAGAATTAATATTAGCAATTCATGCTTTTCTCTCAGAAAATAAAAAGCAAAAGCACAAAAGCAAAAATGTGAACTTGATAGGGCATGTAACATTGAGCAGGTTGTTTGTGTTTTAAGATTAACTTTTTTAACAGTGCCTTCTGTTTTTGTTAAAAAAATACCGCTATATGAAAGGACTACACAATACTCCACATTTCCATTCCTTTCAGAACAAACTTCTCAAACAATTCATTTCCGTCTTGCAATAGCTGTCGTATTATAGGTATTAACTAATGATCCTTCCAATTGGACCAGTGGCAGATGATGGAGAACTATCTGGCGTGCCTCCATAGGCGGCGCTGTAGCTAACTCAACCCTCACTGGTCGTTTAACTCTGACGTTTCAGTTTTCCTCCACGTTGGCTGCACATGCGCAGACAGCATTGCCACCTGCTGGAGCTCAACAGCGAACAAGGAAGTCTTGCTCTTAGGTTCGGATGTTTGGTTGAGCAAAAACAAAATACTACACCGACAGAAAGTCGACGTCTGCTGTCCGGTTATTAGCGACGTCGGCGCAAAACGATGTTCAAGAAACTAAGGCAGAAAATAAACGAGGAGCAGTCACCGCAGAGGAATGCGCAATCACCTCAGCAGGCCCAGGTTGGTAGCTGTTGTGCTTAGGGCTAGCTGAGCTAACGTTTGTTTACACTGCTGAAATGCAAGCTAGGAGAACTAACCTTCGTCATTTTCAGAAGTATCTTTAATTATTTGAATCTATTGTTTAGTAACACGTCAATGACAAAAGCACATTGGTTGTCAGTTGTCTTAACTTTACTTTTCAGTTAGCTTAAATGCAATCTGGTAATGGTTAGCATTAGCCTAATGTAGTTAGCTAGCTGAGCTGTCACTGATTGAGAGTTCAGAATAACCTTTAACCAGTAATACTCATTGTCCCTAAGAGAAAGGAAAACACATAGGGACTGCCCTGTGTATTTTCTCTAGTATTGATTTCATATTTCTGTATTGATATAAACTAATAACATCTTCATAATGATTTGTGTATTTGAATTAGTTGGGCGGTGGAGACCGGCGGAACAGCCAAACCCCACCGATTCATCACGATGGCACACCTACTCCTAGTGACAGAGAGGTGAGGACGGTGTCAGTCTGAAGGATAAATGTCCTGTTTATACTAGGTACAGCTGGGCTGACACTACGAGCTGCATCTTCTCTCCTGAGCTTACATTGTGATCTTCAACCCAAAGCAATGTTTGTGTCAGTACTGAAAAATATGTTATGTCTTTTTCTTAATGCTATTCAGTAACATATCAGAGATGTCTCATTGCTGCGCCAAGTGACGATGCACAGTGGAATCGGATTCCAAAGTGTGTAGGCCATTGATTTCCATATCTGACTTTCTACTATGGGATTAAGTGTAATAACTCCAAGGGTCCGAAGTGGAGTAAAATGCATTATCTAATCATTTAATGCAAACATATGTAACATAATAATATCGTCTGTAAGTGTTACAAAACAATCAGTATTTTAATCTAAGTTTATAGGTTTTTTACTAATCTAACACCATTTATTATAGAGAAATGGTAATCTTTCTGAACATTTGACCCTTTTAGAAAAAACATGAAAGAGAAGGCAGTGTTAAAAAATGAATTACTTTGTAATAAGGGCTGACTTAATGGCGCATCCTACCTTACGTTGATCTTTTTCCATAATACTGACGTGTAAAGGCTTAGCCAAATGCGACTTTTATTAAGGACCAAGAGAAGGGCATTTTGGCAAGGGAAAGCAGATCATGTTTCAGTGTGTTTATGAATAATTAATGTGTCTTTCCATGAGTGTTTTCTTTTCTGTCTCTGATGATCAGATATTTTGCCTCAGTGGAAATTGAGTTTTTGCAAGAAATCTCTCAGGCATAGATATATTGGTGGTTTGATATTCCATGGAAAAATTCGTTTTTTACTTGTGATGAAACTATTTCCATATTTTAACATAGCAAACTCAAAGCTGGAATAAATTATGCCTTTTAGGTAGGTTATTTTCCTCTGCTTTCTAGCACATCCCTTAAAATCTTACCTGAGACTTATGTGCCCGTTGTTTCGAAGCTTTTGGTGGCATCACAGCATCTTCTTTCATCTCACACATTTGTTGCACTTTGACACCTCTGACAGTGCTTACCTTATCTTCAAAATCTGATTTGGCCTGGTTTTTATCAAATTTTTAGGACTGCAGGTAGAGGTGTCAAACAGTTATTCATGGCATTAATGTTGATTAAGTGTTTCACTTTTCAGCTTTTATTTTTCCTCAAATTCATGTAGTCTCTCTCTTACTCTTCTTTCTCTTCCATCCATCCCAGCCTCCCTCGGACAGGCACTCCCTCCAGTGCTATTTCACTCTCATGGTGTTGTTTTTCTCATTGCTCTCTGTGTTCCTCTCCTTTGCCCACCTTTTGTCCCGTTACTGCACTGACGGCGTCAGATGCTGGCCGGGATGATAGCAGAACCCGCTTTTCTCTCAGAGTATACTATCTTTGCTCTGGACCATTCAAATCGACCCAAAACGGCCCAGGTAGCCAGTGTGGTGAGTTTTCCCTCACTTCCTGCCTCTTTCGTCCCTCATCTCTCTCCTTCTCCTCCTGTCCTGTTCCTTCTTCCCGTCGTCTGAGCCTTTGGACAATCGGTAGAGGACTGTGGCCTAAGTAGGGACTGCTTGTTCCCTGCTCTCTGTCTCCTGTTTGCTTTGGATCTAGCAACATGAAGGCATCTCATATGTAGGTTAACCCTGCATCTTAAAGGAGATGTGGTCTACATTGTGGGATAGGGGCTTTCTGCACTATGTTGGTTTATTCTCCTGCATTTCAGTTTTCATGAAAGAAGAATTAGACACTACCCCTTTGTCTTTTTTGGTGGCCTTAGTTGCTTGCTTTTATACCCCTAAAACCCTGTTATGTTGCCCAATGGCCTTTGTCCCTTCTCCCCACAAGTCTGTTTATTTGGAGAGTTGATGCTCTCTGCGTGGGTTGTTTTTTTAAGGAATAGATTGTAAGTCCTCCAAGTAAACAGACAGATTACAAAACTTTTTGTAGGAGCCCTTGCAGCAACTCAAAAACTAGGTGGAGTGTGCGTGTGCCTTATGTGGATACAACAAAAGCATGTTAAACCATAATACTGGTCACAGCCTAATTTCAAGTTTTTTTTCTTCCAAAAGCTAACCTTCATCTTGTAAACCATTTGGAGAAAATCAAAAGCTTGACGAAAGTTCTCTACGTACTACAAGTCAAACGTTTGGATGCTTAAGTGTCATATGCTGAAGATGGTAAAACCAGTAGCTGGAAAATAAAGGTTTTTATTTAAACAAACAGCTGACATTTAACTTGACTTGAACCGGAAATGTGAACTAATGTAAGCAGGAGTCAATTGACTGAGTTTAACCTGCAAACACTCTCCAGACTGTGTAAATTTGAACGCTTTGTATTTCAATGTGTGTTTTAGGGTGTACACTGCAAACAGAGCTCTTGTAAAAAGTGTCTCCAGCTCATTGAAAGCAGGTTGAACTACAGTTGAGCAAAAAATGTTTTCTTTAACTGCCATCATTCATTATTATTGTTGGTTAGGCAGAATCATAGCATGGCACTGATGGATGTTTTGTTTTATAATGTTTCTGCACAGCTGATACAGTGACTATAAAGTAAATATTTATGAGCCGAAGCACATTGCTGGGTAAATAAATTGTTTATGCCAGCAATCTGAAAAAATGAAAGTAGGAGCAGATATATTAAAGCTTCGATTAGGCTTTGCTGAAGTAAATAGTCCCAGAAGAAATAAAATGTAGTTGTAATACACTGTGATCCACTTTAGTGTGTTAGCTGACTTTGTTTAAAGTGGTAGTCAAGTTGAGCCTTTAACTCTCACTGCATCCCCACATTTTTAGTAGTCACAGATTTATGATATTCCATATAAAACTGATCATTAGGCAGTCTGTGCTGTTAGTCTGTTTGGTGAAACGATCCATAAGTCTTTCTGGTTGACATTTGTGGGCTTTGCTGTACTAGACTGTGAGAACAATGCACATCATTGTTCATTTCTGCTCTTACTGTATTTAGTCTCTATTGACAATGATATGAGGTGGATTACACTGGACAGGTCAGTCTTTTACCATTAAAATAATGTTGTTTGATTTTTATTTAACAGGTTATATGCATCAATACATTGTAGAGAGCGGTAAATAATGCTCTTATGCGTGGACTGTCTTGATTACAATCACCTCTTGTAATCAACTACAGTACAAGTATTTTAAATTAATCTCAGTCTCTTTTTCAAGTTTCAGTAACATTATGTCTAAATCCCATGATATAAATTTGACAAAAAAAAAATCATTGGTGTTTTTTTCCCCTCATTTTGAGTAATTCTTTAGGATATTATGACTATATTTGCTAGCTGTGCTTGTTTATCACTTGCCTGCAGATTGTGGGTCAGAGGGTTATGGACTCACAACTGTTTTGGATTGGGATCCTCCTTTTGTCCGTCAGTCCTGTGATGAACAGTGTTTGAGTGTGAACTACAGACTAAAAAAAGTGCTAAAAGCTTGGCTCACTGTTGGTGTAATGTAGGTCTAGTCTTCCATGAGTTACTACTGCGTTTTTAATGTGAACAAGAATAGACGGGCAATGGCAGCAAGCATTTAAATGTGCATAAAGACTAGGTCAAATGGTCCCAGTCCATGAAACAAATTAAAATACTGAGGTTTTTTATTAATGTATTTTTTATTTTCAAAATATAACCAAAATAGTCTTAAAGATAGAAATCTACATTGTTAATATATCTGTTTGCTTGCAGAAGAAACAGAAATTAACAGGAAATAATATATAGGTGACTGAATTACTCAGTATTCCAGAGGAAGGAGTAACTTGGAGCTGGACAGAGGAGGAGAAGATTTGCTTACTGTTTCTGTCGCTAACAAATAAACTAAACCAACTGGGCTGTTAATATTCACCTACTTTACTTATGCCTTTGTGCTTATGTAACAAAAGTGCACACTGCCAAGCATCTTAATCCAAATATCAGCTCTCCTTCTTGACTTTATCTGTTTGTTTGTCTTGACCTCGTGGCTGTTTGTAGAGTAATGTTTTTAACCCCCCTTTTTTGTGCAGTCGAGATGCCTTCTCTTATGTATTTAACCCCTCTATTTTTCCAAGTTGCATGAGGGTACCCATTGCCCCTGCATTGCTCCCAGCAATACTAATATTGCTCCCTCCAGAGTAATCAGGGAGAGCCACGCTGGGTGTGGATGACTAACTGGCCCAGAACAAGTGCACTAGCACATCTTTACTCACTTCCATAATGTGATTTTGGCTTATAGAGTGCTTCCAAAGGACCTGCCAGGTCTCCTAGCGGTAGCATCAATGGGGATGGAAGAGCTTCTCCTCACGTATGTTTAATGCATCTGCTTTGTTCCTCAATTTTATTTCATAAAGCTGTTTCGCACACTTGATATGTGTAATTTAATATGATACTTCTCCCACCAGAGAGAGGAATCACATTCATTTGCCCAGAAACTTCAGCTGAAAGTGCCGTCAATGGAGTCGCTGATACGTGGTGGTGCCAGTCGGGCAGAAAGTCTTTTCCGCTCTCAGTCTAAAGAAAATCTGGTCCGAAGCCCATCACATGAGTCGTTGACGCCATCGGAAGAAAACGAGTCTCCGGGGGCCCCCATGTACGATCCGCCTTCAGATATCGAGAGTGAGGCGGAGGAGCCACCGGGAATTGCAGAGTCTCTCTCTAAAGAGCAACTATTGCACCGGCTGCTTCAGGTGGAGAGGAGCCTGGGTAAATACAGAGGAAAATACTCAGAGGTGAGATGTTGTTCAGAGTTTGGCTGAGGTGAGCTGCATGTTTTGTAGCAGTGCATCCAAATAGATTAATTCTTTCTGTACATTTCTTTTCTCATGCAGCTGGTTACCTCATACCGAACAGTTCAGAGAGAAAAGGAGAAAACACAGGTAACTTCAACTGTTGGCTGAATTTAGTACTTCAGGGGATGAGTTTGTATTTTCTCCTGAGTTTATCATGAGAGATTTTTAGAAACTAACCAGATGATCACTTTTGCTTCACACAGGCCATCCTCAGTCAGAGCCAAGATAAGTCACTCCGCAGGATAGGGGAGCTTCGGGAGGTGCGATTGCGTTTCGAATAATTTATGTGTTTATGTTTAGGCATTTAGCAGTTCAATGTTCAATGTGTGTCTTAATTGTAGAAGTTCATTTATTTATTTATTCGTATTTTAACCGTTTTTAATGCTCTCCAGGAGCTTCAAATGGACCAGCAGGCTAAGAAACACCTCCAGGACGAGTTTGATGCTGCTCTTGAAGAGAAAGACCAGATGATCACTGTCCTCCAAACACAAGTGAATATTTACCGAATCAAGACAAAAGATTTCAAAGAAAATATTTTTTAGGATAAAGTTGGAAAAGAGCCCTAAGGAGGTTACAAATAGCATACAAATCACATTTACCTGCAGATATTTGGCACACTTTCTTTGGATGAGAAAAATTATCATGAAATATATTACATTAGAAAGTTCAAGTACAAAGTTACAAGTGTAGGTAATTAAAGTAATGCTCATCAGTCAGATGTGTGTATGCTGCTGTTCCTCTCCAAAAGGTTGCTTTGTTGAAGAAGAGAGTGAAGGGGGTGTCTGACAGTTCGCACCCACCTGAGGGGGGGGTCCCTCAGTCTGAGGCAGCTGAAGACGCCACATCTGCAGCAGAGAGCCCATCCAAGGTGCAAGGAATAGAAGTTGAAGTCACAGAGGGTAAATAAACATTTTGTCTTGAATTTTTAGCTTCCAAGTTTAGCGGGCTCAGAATTTCTGTTTTACGTCGTGCTTTCTGTTCTGGGCAGGAGAGGGCAACAGTGATCCAACCAAACTTATGGAGGCTCTGCAGAAGAGAGTAACGAGGCAAGAGAATCTGCTCCAGAAGTGCAAAGATGTGATACGCACACACAAAGAGCGGAGTGCACAGCTGACCAGCGAGAATGAAACTCTGCAGGAGCAGCTGCAGGAGAGACTCCAGGAGCTTGAGAAGATAAAGGTGCCTTAAATAGTTTTACTGGCAGAAATCTTAGAGTGTGACAGTATAAACATTGTAATATAAGAACAACTTTTTAAAAAAGTCAATACAATTTGAGATAATAGTGCCCCCACACAGTATCTCTATATCAAGAAATTATTTTCTGAATTATAACCCAGTTTTTTAAACAAATTACCAGCACACTAGAATTTGATGTTGGAGAGAAATGTTGACATGAAGGGGTTTTAATAAAGTGGGACTGGGCCGAGATGCTGCGAATGACTGAGCAGAGTGTTTAGGGTAATTAATGTTGTTCTGCAAAATGTCTGCCAGAGTCTTTACGGTCCACTGATAATGTGACTCCATTATCTCCGTGACACAGCAGATTGCTGTGGTTTCAGAGTCCAAACATCCAAATACTTTGGCTGAGCTCCAGAGCATCGGTTCATGTCATGTCAGCTTGACACGACTTGACCCATTGTTTTCACTGAATTCAAAACATTTAGCTTCACTGGTATCTCAGGCTTGCGTGGCTCGTCCTTAGCTGCTCTGATGTTTTGCACCGTATGAAAACAAATACTTTCACGGGACCAGAGAAGTTTTGCGAAGATTTTTGTTTCTACTCATGAAAGAGTTTTTTCCTGTGAATATCTACCCTGTGTGGGAACAGGAACAGTCCCAGGTCAGGGGAAAGCCGAGGTTAACGAGCATGAAGTCCTTAAAGCAGCATGGTGGCATCTTGTAACCTCAGCATTGGACAGATATCATAAAACAATATGTCTTCAGTTTAAGCAGTTACAACACAGAATCTTCTTCTGCTCAATATGATATCTATATATATATGTGTGTGTGTATATGCACTTTTTATATAACTCTTTTTAAATTAAGATTTTTAATGACTTTGACTAATAAATAATCAAACTTTTTGCACATGCGGATCAGTCAATTAAAAAAAAAAGTATAAAGTCCTAATATTTTCTCTGTTGTAACTATGTTTTAATCATTGCGACTACACTCTGCTGTCATCCTGGCCTTTGATTTGGGTGAATCTGTTGCTCTATTAGGGCTATTTTACATTGGGAGGCATCTATAAAAACTCATGGAATGTCATCTGAGCAGAACGCACACATAATGAAATAGTGCCCTGAATTTATTTGATATATTTCAGTTAAGACTGTAACATGTGACTTCCCCCCTATTTCAAATATCTTATAATCAAAGGAACTTCATACAACAGAGAAGACCAAACTGATCACTCAGCTGCGGGATGCCAAGAACCTCATTGAACAGCTGGAGCAGGACAAGGTGGGTGAGGGGTGTATTTAGACTTTAAGCACATCTTGCTCAATGCTTCTGCAGTTTCCATTGCTTATGTTTCTCTGCTGTTAAATGAAAAGGTCAGACTTTTTGAATTTCCACTCTGTTCCTCTTATACTCTGACCCCCGCTCTGCAACAAGCAGCAGCTCAGGAGATCAATGTGATGAATGCACTTAAAAGCCAAAGTTTGGATGGGATGTTAACTACAGAGAGACTAATTATGAGAAAACCATTTTTATAATTAATTTCCTTGGTGCTAATGTTTTTCAGGGAATGGTAATTGCTGAAACCAAACGGCAGATGCATGAGACGCTGGAAATGAAAGAAGAGGAGATTGCACAGCTGCGTTCCAGGCTCCAGCAGGCCACTGCCCAGAGGGAAGAATTACAGGAACAGAAAGAAAAGGCTGAGAAATCAGGTGAGATTTGTCCCAACTTTCTCATGTCTGAAGGAGAAAAAGAGCAAAAAAATAATCTTCTGGACATGATACTGATGGATTTTGCCATGTGTCCTGAAGCTTTTGAGGAGCTCGAACGAGCTCTGGGTGTAGCGCAGAGGGCAGAGGAGGCCAAAAAACAGCTGCAGGTTCAGCTGGAAGAGGAAGTTAGAGAAGTTGAAAGGGCCAGTGAGGAAGAGCGGAAGAGTCTTCAGCAGGAGCTCACACGAGTCAAACAGGAAGTCGTCACCATCATGAAGGTCAGAAAGTTACATCTGTGCAACAGTTGGTTATTCTGAAATGTCACCGAGGCAATAGTTAGAGAAATGAACAGGAATCCTTTAGAGCATTGTCTTTTTAAACAATTCCACCATTATGACAGCAGACAGTGCAAAGCAAGTATTTTATATATAAATTATATTGTTTTAGAATGATTTCCCTTTTATGTTATCATCGTCAGAAATCGTCTGAAGAAAACGTGGCTCATCTGGAGAAAGTCCACAGACAGGCTTTGGCTGCTAAAGAAGAGGAAATAAAAGTCAGAATCCACGAAGAAGTGGTGAGTGTAGGGTGTTACTCATTATGTGCAGTCCAGTCAAGGAAATCAAACGGGAAAGACTGACATATGTTTCCATGCTCAAACATTTGTACCGTTCAGGAGCAGTGCAAGCGGGAGTTTGAGCAGTTATCTAAGGAGCGGGAGCTGCAGGCTTCTCTGGCTCTGGAGGATGAAGAGTTGCAGAAAGCGGCTATAAGGACTGATGCAGACAACAAGGTTAAAGAAATACAGCTGGAGCTGGAGGCAGCAAGAACTGTGAGTTTGCTACTGTGGTCAACACCTTAAGGTTCCAAACCTATCTATATTAACAGATGAATAGGGATGGTGTTTACATCATGTAAAGGGTATGTTAGGTTTTTCCTTGGAAAAAAAACAACCTTACACATTTGTCAAAATAGCAGCGTCCTCTGAGGTGCACACATAAATACAGGACCACAGGACCATATGAGTTTAGTTTGGTAACAATCTCTGGTACAACAGACATACTTTTGATACCGCGAAAAAAGACAACAACTCCCTTCCAGCATCTCATCTTTACATTTAAAGCACTATTGGTCATGCCCATCCAGTTAACATTACAGGAACCCTTATCACAAACAAGACACCAATATTAAAAAATATACAGTTTTCATTGTATACTTTCATTGTATACACAGTGGTACAAATACTTCCATTTCACTCTAACTTAAAACAACAACGAAACATAATCTTATTTAACAAACCCCCCCCCTTTCTCTTCAGGCCACTTGGTAAGTGTCAGCCAATTAGCCACAACAGGCCCTTATCAGCCAAGTCATGGCCGTGCCTCCATGACTGCTGTTCTCCAAGTGACCTCAGAGAGAGAAACAGAGAAATTAAAACTCAAAACACACCAAAAATAAATTCACTATAAGAAATTAACAAAAATTCTAAATACCACATGTATATTTTTGACTGGACACAATTTACACTGGCCTAGTGAGGGGGTGTCTTCAACTACCTCACAGGGTATATATCTGTGTTTATGATGTGATATTAGTGGTAAAACACAGAGAGGGTAAGAAAGTGTTAGTGATACATTTTTTGTTCATATTTTAAAGAAAAGAAATAGCAACAAGTGTTGTAAAAGTGCCTTTAGTTTTCTCAGAGAATCCTTAATGCCAAATAAATGTTATGATATTGGATAATCTTTTTGCAGCATATCTTAATTAACAGTGTTTTTGTAGCTCCCTCAGCCTTTTCTGATTAATCTAACTTCCTACATATGATGTGATTACAGAGGATATTGGAGCTGGAGAGCTCTGTGGACAAGAGTGCACAAGATGAGTCCTGTCTGGCCCATGAACTTCCCAGTCAGCTGGAGGAGCTGAGGAATAAACACAAAGAGCAAATGGCTGTTTTAGAAGAAAAGTATCAGGAGCAGCTGGAAAAGCACAAAGGCGCTCTAACCCAGCAACATAATGCTGCTCTTGAGGAGATTATCGAAACCCACAGAGTTGAAATTGAGACGCAACTGAAAGAGAAAGAGCTGCAGTTCCAGTCACATGTTGAGGACATGAACCAGAAGACCTCAGAGAAACTGGATGCAAAGCAGGCGGAGTTGGAGGCACTTTCCACTGAACTTTCAGAGGTGATAAAGAGTAAACAGCTTCTCGAGGAGAAGCTGAACACGGCTGAAGATGCTTCGAAGTTAACTCTGCAGGAACACGATAAAAGATTTCAGGATCAGTTGGCAAACATCAAACAGGAGCATGAACAGTCTCTTGGGGGTATAGAGAAAGCTCTAAAGGAAGAACTTAATGCTCTGAAAATTGTTCTTAGGGAAAAAGAAAAGGAGATGGAACAACTTATCCTTAAGGAAAAAACACTACAAGAGGAATCGTGTTCCACTGCACAAGAATTGGAAGTCAAAAATAGAGAAGTTGAGGATCTGCAGCAAATTTTAAAGGAATCAAATGAACAGTGCAATAAAATCTCAGATGATGTTGGTCAGTATAAGAAGGAACTGACAGATTTGGAGCTTCAGCTGGAGGCAGCTAAAAATGATTGTCAGCACAAGGAGAAGTTGCTTCAAGAACTAGAGATCCAGTTACAAGAAATTAAAAAGGAGCTTGTGGAGAAGGAGAAGTCATATACTAAAGAACTGACGACATATCTGGAGGAGCAAAGAATCCTCAAGAAACAGCTGGAGGACGAAAAAGCTTCTCATGAAAAGAAACTGAAACACACTAAAACTGAGATGGAGGCCAAGCTGAAATCACAGGAAACAAAGATGGAAAAGTTCAAACAGAAAGCCAAAGAAATGCAGGAGAACTTTAAAAAAAAGCTGCAGCAGAGTGAAGAAAACATGAAGAAGGAGCTCGCAAAGAAGGACAATGAGCTTCAACAGAAAGACCAGCAAGTTCAAGAGAAAATGGTGGAGATGGCTCAGAAAAGCTCTCAAGGCCTAAGTAGCACAGTGTCAGAACTCCAGGCCAACCATAGGGAGGAAGTGGAAAAACTGCATGCTTCCCATAAGCATGAGGTTGAGGAGCTGGTACGCTGTTGGGAAGAGAAATTGGTGCAGCAGGAGGGAGAACTCACAGAGAAACACGCACTCATGCTGCTGGAGAAGGAACAGGGACTAGAGGAAATGTCTCAGCAGCTTAGCAGAAGCAGAGCTGAGTGTGAACAGGCTTTGTGTGAGATGAAGGAGTTAAAGGAGGGCCTGGCAATCCGGGAAACCACTGTCCAAAAGCTGCAAGAAGAGCTTAATGAAGCTGCGGTTAAGCTGGAAAGTTTGTCTCAGGGTGAAGCGTTGCTCAAAGAACAAATGGAGTCAGCAGAGAGGAACCTCAACCAGGCTTTAAGTGAAAGAAATGCCCTCCAAGACAAGCTGACTACAGTAAAAGAAGAGAACAGGGAGAGGGTAAAGAATTTGTCAGACAAGTTGAAGGAAACAGAGCTGCAGCTTAACATGATGGAAAGCTCCAGATGTAATGAAACCAGGGACCTGCAGAATAAATTTGAGGAAACTTCCATGCAACTACAAGCCAATGAGACAGAGTTTCAACAGCAGTTGATTATGATATGCAACAGAATGGACCAGTACTGTAGGGAGGTTCAGTCCAAAGCAGAATCTGCCTCCAACGAGCTCCTCCAACAAGTTGAATGTCGAATCAAAGAGCTAAACAGGAGACTGCTGTGTAGCCAGGAAAAGGTCAGGCACCTCAAAAACTGTGTTCTCACTAATGTAGGCAAAACTTGCACTTTAGAGGAAAATCTTTGCCAGTGTTCAGAGGAGAACAAGAATCTATGCATCTCATTAGAACAGACGACCGCTCAGGTACAAGCTCACATGGAGCATATAGAAGCCTTAACACATGAGAGAGACGCTCATGTTCAGAAAGTCGATGAGCTGAGTGAAGCAAACAGAGTCATATCAGAAAATCTGAAAAGGAACCAACTGCACATCACAGACTTCGAAAGCATTGTCGCTGACTTGAGAAATCAGCTTGCAAGTAGCATAAAAGAGAAGGAGGAAGCCATAAATCTGTTAAACCAGCAGTATGAAGAGGAGAGACAACAGGCCGCAGCTCAGATGAAAGAGACCATAGAGAGATTAGAGCAGGAGAGGATGTCTGCTTCAGAGCAGGCCGATGTGCTCAGGGTCAGCTTGTCGGAGCATGAGAACAAGGCAGAGACAAAGTTCACCCAGGATAACAACACTATTACATCGCTACAGACAAGGCTGAAGGAATTGGAAGGAGAAATCTCTGAAAAGAACGATGCTTTCCAAAGGCTGGCGGCAAGTATTGACAATCAGTCCATCAGCAAGACTGTGCTGGACCAGGTGTTGAGTGAGAAAGAGCAGAAAATCAACAGCCTTACTGCGGAGCTCCAGGGCTGCATCAGTCGACTCGATGAGCTTCAGGAGCAGTTAGCCTTAAAGACAAAAGAGTGTGAACAGCTCACATGTGACCTCAAACAGCAGCAGAGCATCAGGGAGAATGAGAAGAAAGAGTTGGTGGAGCAGCTACAGCAGATCCAGACGCAGTGCTCTCAGAATGGTAATTTGGAGCAAGAGATGGTGGAAAAGCTGCAGTCCCTGGAGGAGGACAACCAGACGTGTAAACACAAGCTGGAAAGTCAGAGGGAGGAATTTGAAAGGATGAAAGAGGAAATTATCAAGGGCAAGGAGGAGAGTCTAAAGGCAGCTGAGGAGAAGTTATCTGCGGAGAGCGCACGGAAAGTATCAGAGCTGAAGAAGAAAGCTGAGCAGAAAATAAGTCAAATCAAAAAACAGCTCACAACACAACTTGAAGAAAAATCGCAGACAATTGAAGCTCTCCAGAGTAGCCTGGTGGAAATAAAGAGCAATGAGACTTTGGGCAAAAAACAAGTCGAGGCATTAGAAGATCAAACGAAAGCACTAGAGGAAGCTCTTATCACGATTAAGAAGGAACAAGAGAAGCAACTTGAACAGATTCTAAGTGATGAGAGGCTTGAGAAAAAGAAGTGTGTAGAGGAGCTGAAAGTCATGTATGAAGAGAAGCTGAGCTCACTGCAGAGAAACGACGACCAGCAAGCGGAGCTCAGAGAAACCCTATCGACACTGCACGAAATTCAGGCCAAGCTAAACGAAGCAGAGGAGGAGAATGGAAAGCTCCTCACAGAAATAAATTATCTGAAAGAGGAAATGGGCAGGAGGGATGCCCAGCTCCATCAGCATCGGCTCCAGAGTCCATCAGAGAGTGAGATGACATTGGAACGTAGCAGTGTTCAGCAAACCATGAGTGCGATGGAAAACCACTCTCCCATGCTGGGGGCGGATGATGAGGGCGACTCTTTGCAGTCTGTGAAGAGTCAACTGATTCAGATGAAGAATGAGAAAGAGAAAATTCAGAAGGACTTCACCAGGTTACAGAAAGACATGCGGGTCCTGAGGAAGGAGCATGAACAAGATCTGGAGTGCATAAAGAAAGAGTTGTTAGAGGAGAATGAGAAAAAGTATAAGTAAGTCTACCGTGCCAGGTTAAATGGCAAAATTTTAAAGTTGAACACATTTAGATGTGAAAATACATAATTTTCTTCTGTAAATGCTTAGATACGTTCCAAACAACAGAAACCATTCAGCTAATTCCTATTATTTTGACTTGTCTTCTTAGACTGGAGTTGGAGGACGTGGAAATGAAGCACAACTCTGCTATAAAGCAGTTAATGAGGGAGTTCAACAAACAAATGGCTCTGAAAGAGAGGGAGCTTGATACATCTGTGAAGGAGACAATAGGTGAGATTATAGAACAATGGAGTTAAACACATGGCAAATAATCACTGTCCTTTCACTTTTCAATTAAATGCCTTAAAACATAAAAACCTTTTCTACAACTGCAGTGTAATCTGACCAGTTTTAATGTGCTTTTTGATATTGGATTTTATTCATGTAAAACTGATATTCACAGTGGACTGGTCCTATTTTAGAAGAAAAGAAAAACAAATAAATAAAAGCACAAAATCTGAAAACATGGATTAAACATAATAGCAGTTCGGTGGAGAGCTGACAGACTTAATTAAAACCATGATTTGACTTGTTCTGGACAAAAGCAGCGGTTGAGGAATGCCTCTAAATATGATAGTAGCTTTCCAGTAAGGGTTTTAAAGATGAAGAGGAGGGAATTTTTATTGCATTTTCCACCCATATAAGGCCATCCCTCTTTTATGATGGAAAGATTTAATCTTCTCCATGGTTGCGTGAGCATTAACAGATTATTACATCTAAAAACAGAATATTCAAGTGAAAAAACACATAACTTCTGATAGTTATAAGGTTTTATCAATCAGGACTTGAACAAAAAACACACAAAAAAAAACAAAACACAATCTTTAACTCTTTCCCAGGAATTAACATAGGTCAGATATCACCTCAGGGGAGCGGCCACACAGGAGCTCTGTTTCATTGTTTATTTCATCAAGGTGTTGCAGGGGTTCCAATCAAAGCACAGACCACATCCTGAAACGCTGTGGAAGAAACGCGAAACATGTCCTGAATTTTAGACTCAGGCTTGTTCTTTTTCTTCTCGTCACCCAGCCAAGGCCCAGGAGGTGGAAGCTGAGCTCATCAGTACCCATCGGGATGAGGCCAGTCAGCTTCGGAAGGTGATTTCCCAGAAGGAGGATGATTTGCACAGAACTGTTCAGAAATATGAGGAAGTAATCCAGGTATAGTTTTAAAACAGAGCTAAGTTTGAAACATTCTTTCCTTAAAGGCTCAAGTTTATGAGTTTTAGTGTGGAAAGTAGAAGAACCACACCCATCACGTCAGCCACCCACTCTGCTTCAGTGTATAGCAAAGTGCACTGAAGTACCCCTTCATTTTCATGTTATTGCATCATATTAATGACCTAAAAGGGGACAATAACTCCTTTTAAATTGACCGACATACTTGAGTTGTGACTTTAAGATGACACATAGGAAATTACTCAGTTTAAAAAACATTTTTTAAATTCTTTTTTTAATTGATTAAATTTTTCTCAGAATCGAGAGGAGGAGATGGGAGACAGAGTGTGGCAGGTTCAGAAACAACTGGAAGAATTGCAAGTGCGCTGCCAGGACACTACCGAGGTAAAGCATGGCTGACCCTCCGTCTCATGCTGTGCCCACCGACTCATGAAACATCTGCGACCGCAGTAACGGTTGAATGATGTGGACACTTTAATTTTACACAGATGTAGAAAAAGTCATGTCTGTTGCCATTTTTCCCCAATTACATACGGGACTCTGGTTGAGATAGATGAAATTTCTATGGTGATTCTGTTTTAAGTCGTAAGTCACTTCCCTCTGGCTGCGTTAAGCAGCAATAGCCATGTGAAATAATTCTTTTTTTTAACTTTCCCTCTGGGACAAAGCTTGAGTCTGATGGAAGCATTAGCAATTCTGGATGACGGCCTTCTCCAGATGCATTTTTCTATCAATACCAACAGCCTGCCCAGACCTATTATTTTAAGCTCACTACCAGGTTAACAGTTATCAGCCTTTGCTTTGTGCCGCTTCATAATTGGAAGATTCCTCTAAAGAGCTTTGGAATGGTTCTTTCACCAGCTGCCTTCTTACCAGTGTCCCGCTGCAGTCTGGTGGCAGCCCTCCAAACAGCTCCGGATGCTGTGAGGCGCATTTGGATCACTCAGGAATGCTCCCCTCAGAAAACAGAGACTATGAGGCAGCAGCCAGCCTCAGTCGCTGTTCTCAATTATCATCCTAAGAGGTGATTCTATGCTTTAGATTTATACTACAGCAGGACTCCCATGCAAGATGTGCATGCTGGATATGGCCCAGTTAGGACCCCAGAGAGACGTCTCCTGGTGCTTTAGGACCCACATGTTGATTCTTTCACCTTTTTACACGTGTGTGTGCGTGTGTGTTGACAAAGAATTATGCTGCTCTCTCAGCTGCATTTTTCCCAGGTGAGGTAAGAGCTTTATTTGGGGGTTATTGTATGGCTTTATGTTCACTGAGGCCTTTCTTTACTACAGGCCTCAAAACACACATGGGCTTTGGATCAATGCGCCTGCCCTTTAAAAACAGCAAACCAGAGATGGAGGCTAATTTAGTCAGCTCTGACTGGAAAGCTCTGTTTGTGACTGAATATCTATCTGCTGAACTCTTTGAACTTTTAAAAGATTTTTGCTTACCAAGCAATGTCTGTTATTGTGTTTACTTAGTAGTACTAATTGTAAAAATGCACTTCCATTTGACATGTTCTAACACGCTTTGTGTGTGTTTGTGTGTGTGTTTGTCTGCACAGATGACCTCAGAGGACTTACAGGTATGTTTTGTAGTTTCAGTTCCACTGTTACCCTCGTTAATGGATCTAAAGAGAGATGGTGAATATACATCCATGTTGGTTCATGTTTTGTCTGACTTTTTTATCCTCTGCCCCTTCTGACTGCAGGCTCAGCTGGCTGAGAAGACGACCCTGCTGAGCGCAGCGCGGCTGAAGGAGCAGGAGTTTGTTGAGAAAGTGAGTGCTGGACCCTCTCTTATGTTCTCGGTGGGAAAACGGAATAAATCTGTTGCACTGTATTTCCAGAAATCCATGGCTTCCAGCAATGGCAGCTACTGCTCTCCTGCTGCATCGACTTAACGGCGCAAGACATCTGTTTACATTTGGTTTAACCCTATAAACAATCAGATCAACGCCTCCCAGGGCTTTCTCACACACACTATTATTCCCACAAACATTCCCCGAGGATGACCAACAGAATGCTTAATATGTCCCGATCGGCAATTAGTCTAAACGTATAACATTAACCCACAGGGGTCAGGAATAATCTGTGCATGCTTTTGTGTTTCTCCACACTAGATTCACTCACTGGAGGACAAGATTAAATTTCTCCACCGAAACACTGTTGTAACTCATCTCGGGGGCACGTTCAAAGGTAATCTTAACACCTTGAACCATTTAGTTCTGCTTCTTGGTTCAGTTTCCTTTTAGATGAGCAAAAAGTTGGCCTGCGGAACTCCTAAAACCCATGAGAAAAAGTATAATTTAGACTCCTTCTGTCCAATTTACTATTAATTATTTTAATAGTAAATTGGACAGAAGGAGTCTTGACATGACATCAAAATAATTTGATGTCATGTTAATATTAGGAAGTTGTAGTAAATGTGGCAAATGATGACCTTGTTAAGACAAAGACTGTGGTTGTAATTTGGTTTTGGTTCAGTGTAGTCAGTGTTTGAGCAGTTCATGACACCACAGTGGTTAAGGTGGGGGTAGATGTCACAGGACTATATGTAAGTTTGCGCAGTAACTTAAGAAAATAACATTCCTGTTTGTGTAGCCTCGGCCTTTCTGTTTGGAGAAGAGTGCTCTGCTCCCATTAGATCTCCCCTTCTGGTCCATCAGATCTTACAGGAGGATATCTTGTAAGAGGCCATCTTAAAATGTGATAGATGTAGCAGACTTTGTTATTAAAATTCCCACAGCTCTCACTACTTTAGTCCCCTCCCTGTAGCATGTAGGAGATCCAGGGTAATAACCTACTTTGCCGTGTGTTTGCTCAGGATTATGACACTTGGGCAAACTGCTTTCCACTCAATGAGGACTTTGTTAAACCGAGTAAGACCACCTGTCACAGCTGTTTCAGGCAGAGTCAGAGGTGTTGATAGTCGGTTTCATACCTGTAGCTGAGTGACTGCTCAGCTCAGGTACAAGCAGGTCAGGAGGTCAAAGGTTAGAGGATTTATTAGTGTCGTACTGATCCAAGGCAGAGCTCAGGGAGTTGCTTGGCCTCTTCTTTCACCTTTGCTTTTGGTCTGATCACACAACCAGCTGCTTATGTACTAAATCTATTGACAATTGAGCAGAAAGCAAGAGGGCGTTGTTGCTTGTGGAGGATCTGATGGGGATATTTCAGTAAGTGTTACCAGCCTAAGTGTTACCAGCTATGTCCAAACTGTAAATAGCGTTTCCCCACTCATAGTTTTGAATGAGATAATGGTTTTATTGCTCTGGGCTAGAGAGGCTCCTCTAATCATGGCTGGTGCTTAATTTAAACCCCACGCTGTGAAGAGGTGGCTCCTGAATGTTGCCACCTTTTTTAGAGTGATTGGGACAGGATTTAAAAGCAAATCTTCAGCATACACAAACCAAATTGTGAAATGTTAAAATTAAATGTCCTCCTTTGTTTCTCAAAGCAACATTTAATCCTTTTTTCCTTAAGTAAGGCAAGAGACTCCTTTATGTTTCCAGTGAGATCACAGGCGTGTAATGAGAAGATAACTTGGGCTGTTGGATAGTGTCTCTTTCCTCACATTATTATTTGTTGATGACTGTCTTTGCCTGTTGCAGATCCTGGGATCAACACACCGGATACTTTTTCAGAACCCACTGAGACGGAGTACCTGAGGAAGGTGCTTTTTGAATACATGATGGGAAGGGAAACAAAAGTACGCTAACCTTTCTTTTGTTTTATAAAAAAATCTCTCCTGTCTATTTATTTATTCATAGACCCTCTTAAACCCATTTACTTACTCTGACTCTGGTTATTTGTAACCAATCTATTCTTCAGCTTTACCAAAATATTTTAAACAGTGATCTGTTACTTTCTCTTAACCGAGGAATTAAGGACACCGCTTAAAAGTCATTTTGTGTCTGGTCTTGTTTTTCAATAATTAGCAGTGATCTCCCTAATTAAGTGCGCTGTTGACGAGGTCCTAAAGCCAGCGGGATTTTCCCCTGCTCCCTCAGCAAACAGTTGCTCTTTATGGCAACCCGGCAGACCTCCCCGGTGTGGAGGATGTCCCCCAGGCTGCCTGTGAGCACATGCATCTTGCATGACGCAGATTTGCCATTTAAAGGCTGCTGGCGCTGTTCAGTGTTAGTCAAGTGGTTCGGTTTCCTACCCAGCAGCCCTGTTTCTCATTATCTCCTGCGTTTATAGGAAAATGCATGCTGCCTGGCAGATGGGCCTGGAGTTGATTATGGAGATAATTTTCATTCTCGTTTAATGCACGTGTGTGCATTGATTTGCTTTAATAGACTTAGAACAGCCTTAATTTGACAGCACAGTGCTGTCAAAGGTAGAAACAACCACATCTTGTATTTATGAAGTGGATGATACATGTTTGTACTATGTATTTAATTTAACATGTTCTGAAATAGCTTATTTAGAGGTTCCATTTAATAAATGGTCTGTCTTTTTCTTTGTTTATTTCCCATCTGTAGACAATGGCCAAGGTGATCACATCTATGCTCAAGTTTCCTCCTGATTTGGCTCAAAAGGTTTTGGACAAAGAAGATTCAAAAACAGTTGTAAGCACCACTAATATTAGCTCTCACCTCCAGCTTGCTAACTCCACCAGGCGGTCGTTAAAGTCCCTGTTCTCTCCACAGCCTTGGTTACGATGAGTTGGTGATTCGGGTACGTCGGGATGATGATTTGCTGCTGCTGCTGAAGGAGAAGACTGCCATGGATGATATCAAAGCCCTTCAACCCTGTATCTTGTCTTTTTATGTATATGTATGTTTGAGATGTGTGTGAGCTCTTTATGGGAAATAAGTGTGCGTGAAAGCATATAAAAGTATGAGGGAACTCTAGATTTTGAGAGTTACACAAATCTTCCAGTATCCTCCTTCACTCAAGACTTAAGTTCTGTAATTTATGTTTTAGATTTAAATACATGTTGTTTTCTTCGGTTTTAGGATTTGATTATACAGACTGGCTTGTGCAATAAATTATATCACATACTGATGGTCAGTTAGTTTTAAGGATTCTGTTTTGTGACATTGTCGGAACTGCTTCCTCTGTAAAATGACCCTTTAAACTGTGCAGTCAAAGCACTATGTTGACCTCTGGACCTCGTTTGTTCTTCACAGCTTTTTTAATGCTTTATATTCAACACTAGCAGAACCCCCAAAACACATAAAATGTTAAATGCATTATTAGAGTGAGAACTGTACTATAGGGCACTTGCTTTACATTTTCAGACTAATTAAATCTTATTTAGAAAACAACTTTGGTCACTTTTATTTTCTTATCAGACGATGAGCAGCCCATTCAATCCAATGCCTTTAAAAAAAGAACTTGCTTTACATGGAGAAGGATGCAACAATAGGCTTCCTTTATAATGGAATAATCTTTGATGTTGTTAAATGTTTAATTAAATTGGCTGAGGTGCATCTTGACCTGGATAAACATGTCTAAGCTTCACTGGAAGGCCTTAACAACACTGTCAGACTATACTTGAATACACACTTTTAAACAATCTGTATTAAATGTGGTCTAACTATCCCTGTAACTGTGGTTATATCAATGTTTACATATATACAATACAAAGAGATGAAGTCCGCTTTGCCATAAATATTTACATGGCTGGTTCCCAAATTACTTGATGATAAAGTGGGGAGAGAGTACTCCTTGTATTACCCATCCTTACATTTTTCCACGTTTAGCTTCTTGAAACGGTGAACTTATATCCACTTAATATTTGTACAAACTGTTAGACAACTGCAAGCTGCTCAGTGTGAAGTTTCTCAGTAAATCCAGCTGAATTTGATAGGTACCGTTAGATGGCAGCAGTGCGCCCCTGTCTCCCCACTTTGGTTGGGCTGAGCCCCGATAAAGCCCACGGGTGAAATGTGATGCTTAGCGCCTCAAAACCATTCTTGAGTCTCCGTGACTGCCTCCCTCTTGTCCTTGGCCCACAGAAGAAAGACGCGTTCCGGTTTGCCTTTTCGTTTTAAAAGCACGACCTCCTTTTTTTGCGACCAAAAACTGTTGAGGCAAACTTCATGCTTTTATTTTGTGCTGAACTTCTCTCATTTCTATCATAACTCCTTTTAACTCGACAACCAACTGCGTTTATCTCCAGGACAGGGAGTCTGCAAGCGGCAACTTTCCCAGTTTGACACAGAATGGAGAGAAGCTGACGCACCGTTATTTACCAGACCGTCAACTTTCCTCTTCAAGCTTTTGCTCCTACCAGCGCAGTCTGCATGCTGTGCCGGAATAGAAAAACACACCTGAGAGATTTTTTTGTAACACTTTGACCACTGAAGAACTGACAGTTCTTTCTTATTGTTCTCTCTTTAGTTTTGTTTTGTACTTTTGGACACTTCAGCCGCGTTATTACGCATGATGCGCAAAGGGATGGCTCCTCAGGAGAGGCACAACACGGGATTACATCACGTTTTTTGTGTTTATTTCTTCATTTCAGTGGCTTATTCCTACAATATAGACTTAGAACACCCGTTGGTGTTCCGCGGACCAAATTCTAGTTTTTTCGGCTACTCGGTGTTGGAGCATTATCATGACAACACACGCTGGTGAGTTGTGTAGTTCGAGTTGTGTTGTTCTTGGAAAACTTTATTTCCTTTCAGTGATGCAGTAGCTTTTTCTTGTTTAAACGTCTCTGTAGCCGGACCTGGCTGCAGATCCAGAACATGTTTATGATACTCATTTTATTTCTTGTTAGTGAAGTAGTTTCCCCCCTTTTGTTCAAATTTTATATATATTTATAGATTTTGTTGTGTCCACTCCTCATGTGCGCAGGGTAATAGTAGGGGCACCGAAGGCAAACTCAACCTACAGCAGCTCTGTGCATTCTCCTGGAGCTGTGTTTAAGTGTCGAGTTCACAGTAACCCAGAGCGCCGCTGCACAGAGATGGATCTGGGAAGAGGTCAGTCACCACAACCCGCAGCATCAACTCATCTTGCCAAAATGACAGATTCTCTGTCTGCAGTCTTTGGGCAAAGCTCACACATAAAGAACTGCTTTAAAAGTGTAATACAGATGTAAACTCGCATTTGATGTAAACTGATTCGTGAAATGTAAATTAAGAAACTTGTTTTATCAGCCCTACATTACACATTTGTTTTTTTCTTTGTTTTTACTCTGTTTTTGTTTTCTTTTTTCTTGTTTTTTCATCCATGAAGACATCCAAAAGACAATAGGGTTCTGTCTGCATAGGTCCATAAATAAGTTTGAATGATATGATTTATGACTTTGCTAATATTTTCCAAGCATGTCAAACTCCCCCTCACATGCCTCCTCATCCTCCGGTCTTGTGGTCAGTAAAGACAGGGTGCACGCATGGCTTCAATATTAACTCCATGCTCAGTCAATGTGTAACCAAAACAATGGACCTCAGTGCCCTCAACGTAGGGAAAAATAGACTGGTGTGTAATATTGACACTTCTTCGTATGAGTTGGTTCAAAGCCACTAATATCAACGTCAGAGCTCATTCACATGTAATGTGAGGAGATGTTTGGAGCGCCTGATTCTTCTTAACTTTGTGCACAGTGCAATGTGTCAAACATCTTTGCAGAAGTTGGAATTTTATATTTAAACTCTGACATACTTTTCGATGTTGTTCATATGCCTTAACATTGCCTATTTCAGCACATTACGTTAGTAACTCACATCAATCTCTGAAATGGGCCATTATTTAAGAAATAGACAGTTGAAAACTGTTTTATTAGAGTATTTTGTCCAATAAAGAGAAAATAAATAGATACATTTTTATCTATCTATTTTTCCATTTTTACAAGAGCCTTAGACTTTGAGCCAGAGCTCTAATTCTATTTCAGTGCATATGTTGACACTTTTCGGGAAAACCAGTTCTACAGCGGATTAAGGCTGTCTCATCGTGACAGCACAAATCCAGCTAACCCCAGACTGATTCAGTGATGTGGAGCTCAGTCTTCTGAGGGGGCCACGGCATTTACTGTAAGACGCCTTGTTACAGAGGATGGTGTATAAGAAGGAGTAGATTGTTCAGGTCTTCGCATTGCTGTTGAATGAACATGGTACAGATCAGATGGCTCTCTGAAGAAAAGGGAGAATCTAAATAAGTGGGGTGTTAAAGGAATCCTTACATTTCTATATATATATATATATATATATATATATTCATAAGGATTACCATTCAATATGTTATAGAACTTCTTTTAGTCTTAAATATCGATTTGAATAATAATCCCCATGCCTTTTCATAGTGAATGTGATTAAACTTTACTTCACAGTTTCGATGGTAGCATCTATCCAGGACAATTATCAAACTACAGTTACACAGGATCATTCCTGAAGCTCTATTATTTTGAATTGTCAGTTGTGTGACATCATTGATAAAAGATAAGATTCAGAAGGCTCACAAGGCTGACAAGACATCCTCCTGATGACTGAACATCTGCAATTTGCTCTCATTGTCTTTCAGGAAACAGGCCCAGAGAGTCGTGTGGGAAGACGTGCCAAGGAGACAGAGACGATGAGTGGATGGGGGTCAGCCTTGCCCGCCAGGACAGAGCCAATGGCCAAATACTGGTGAGTTCAAGGACCGCTGTTGCTTCAGACATTTGTTTAATGTGAGCCATGCATGCTTGTAAAACAAACTGGTTTATACCCACATCATTGTTACAAATGTCTCCCCATGAACCGCACTGTTAAACCACAGCTGGTCCCGGCTTTACTCTCTAGCTGTTAGAAAAGGCCATTCTTTCCATCCCGTTACACCCTTACAAGCTTTGACTGGCGCGAGTTGAAAATAAGATAATTTGAATGAAAGATCCTGAATGACTTTTCGCAAATTCAAAGCTGGACTAATAATTCAATCCAGACAGATTTGGAGGCAAGAGGAAGTTACATAATTCTGTGACACATTTCCCTCCTATGCAGAGCTGCATGAGTCAGAGAACCTTTTTTTTTTTTTAATAAACTAAAAGGAGAGCATGGTTTAAAGACATCAGAGTGGCACTAATCCCAGATGTGCTTGGCCTAGTGTTTGCACAGAGATCATAGGGCTGTGTTTGTTTAGCCTTCAGCCCTGCTGTGGAGGTCCCCTCTAAGAGCACCCATTCATTAAATATTAACCCCATCTCCTGTAGTGGGCAGTGAGCAAACTTTGTTCTCTGCTGGACATTTTCTTGGCTTCTGGTTTGCTGGCAGCTCTTTAACCCCTCATGACAACATATTTATTGCTGATTGATTAAAAAAAAGTTTTAAAAAAAGAGTTTCACTATTAGAATATGTCCAGAAAGCCTTTGATGTCAGATTTCGATTGTTTTTTTCTAAGCATTTGCTTTTGGTCCATTTATATTAAACCTAGTGGAATGTGCTGGCATGGTTTTCAAACCAGTGTCCATCGCCTTCCTTGTCAGTCTATCTGCCAACGCTTGAGGAGCTCTTGGAGTTGTCATTTTTGGGAATGTGAATGCTGAGATGTGTAACTACAAAGTTATAGCTGCTGGCTCTTAAGGCAGGGTTCTGATAAAACAAAGGAGGTGGCTCTCTGAAGTCACGTGTCGTCATGCCTCCCCAGAGAGTTCTTTTTTCTTTTTCTTTTTTTAATATCAATTGAACGGACTCACCAGAGGGAAACGGCTGCTGAGCAGATGTTTGCAGTGGTGATTTCATCCATGCTCTCCGTCAGTAAAAGCCTTGTTTGTGATGAGTTGGCTCTTTAAAACTACACAGGAACATAGCAGCACTACAGCCTTCTCGCTCCAGCTTTGTAGACCTCATTTGCCTCGGGAGGTGTCAATGGCTTTGGCATTGTGTGTTTCTGAATCAGCTGACTGGTCTTTGTTTTATAGACTCTCCTTCCACTGAAGAGGGAGAGTCGAAACTGAAATAGCTGTGTTCTTTGGCTAAGTTGTTCTTTGAAAGAAAAGTGTTTCTCAACATAGCATTGTGCTTCCAAACAGTCATCTGATGTTGTGAATATGCCTGATCTGCTGAGCTCATATATTAATTTACAGTGGCTGTGTGTGTGCGTGTGTGTGCTGTTTCTAGCAGGAGAGAAGAAAAATGGGTTTATTGGCAGATTAAGTGGACTTTTGTCTGTATAGAGGCGTCCAGAAATGTCCCCACATCCACAGGAGCTCTACCACCAGTCCCAAGGATATGAAGTTATTACCACATTCACACATTTATGTGGCCTGTTTTGCACAAGCTGTTTGTGGAATCTGTTATTTTATCATAAAAAAGGAGGAAATAGTGTTAAAAAAGTTACTCACGGTCTGTTTAACACTGTTTCACAAGGATGATAAGTTCAAAGTTTGTCCTTAGTCTTTTGAGCTCATGACTGCCCCCGGTTGACTGTCAGAGGAGCTGTTTTGGAATGAAAACACAAAAGTTTATGTGAAGGCTCTCTTGTAGAGCATTAAACGCTGCTTGGCAAACCAGGCTTTAGCTAAGATATTCACACCACAGACCATGGCTGTTACATTATGGTCAGGGTTATGGACAGGCTTTAATTCCCCCTCTAACTGACGATCATTGGACAGCCACAGAGACCCACTGACTCCAGCTCAGCGAGATGGAGTCGGCAGAGGCAATCAACGTGGTTGAGAAGGGCCTGCCCTCAGCCTGAAGTTCCCCCATTTGCTGAATGAGCATGTCCCTGAATTTGCTTTGCCCGCTGTCTCCCGCAGGCTTGTGCTCACCGGTGGAAAAACATCTTCTATGACACAGAGCACATCCTTCCACATGGATACTGCTCCATCATCCCTCCAACACTTCAGGGCAGGACGAAACCCCTCATCCCTTGTTACGAAGGTACGGTTTTAACAGTTGTTTCAAGCTTTCAAATCAAACAACTCAATGCAGTAAATCGGCCCTGCCATGGATTGGCGGACCGTCCAGGGTGGACCCCGCCTCTCGCCCACGGACTACTGGGCCAGGTTCCAGTCCCCCCGCCACCCCCTTAGGGAATAAGCGGTTATGGTAATGGGTGGATGGATACAGTAAATCAGTTCTGTCTCAGTCCCCAAAGATGCGTTCAATTAGCAGTCTGATAATAAATAGATGATGATATTGGGATCATTTTGATGTTAAAAAGAGTTTCAGCTGCGCCTTTCAGTCACTGAATTATGATGCTGTAAAGGCAGACTACACGTTTTACTTGTGACACCATCAGGTAGCTGTCTATGTACATGTGCTGTGAACAGCTGCAGTTTTTCTCTGTAAAACACCAACCATGTGAACGTTTACAGATCCTTGCTGTGTCAGATTTTTCAGTTGGCATATTTTGGAGGTTATTCTTTTTTCCTATCATTTCATACATCTTGTGATCCCACAGATTTTTGTTAAGACGTCTGTAGTGCGTCAGACTCAAGGACAGAGCCACATGTTTGATGTACTGACCAATGTACATTTCATCATGACATGTTATCTTGGTACTTAGCACCATGAGTGAAACTTCCCAGGTCTAAGTCTGGCCTCCAGCTGGTGTTTGGGCATAAAATCTTAGTGGGTTAGCCCTGAAGCTCGGTTTCTTCCTTAAGTCCTAAAAAAACACGTTTCCACAAATGTTTAATTAGTTTGTTTTTTTAAAGCATTGATTTAGAGTTGACTTCCCAGAAATTGAGTTCACTTAAGGAAACATTTTCTTTGCTTGGTAAGAAGTCAGATTTTGTTATAATTGTATTAAATCAAATGCATTTTTCATGCAGGTTGTTTCCCCTTCTATAGTATGGTAGAATACTTAAAAAAAACAAACAGGTTCCACTTGAGAAATAAGGCAAAGAGGAAAAATCTAAGGTGACTCATGCACATGTAATATTTATACATTTGAATGAGTGAAATACTGAACTCAACTGAACTGAACTGTTCATCCAAGTTAATATTTTTGTTCCTTTGTTACAGTACGCATGATTGCCAATAGTTGTGAAGAAGCCAGAAACACTTTGCATGGGACCATATTTACTGTGCATTTTGCATAGATCCAAGCTCAATATTTTTCTAACCTAAGAGCACTTTGCCCCCCTTCCTCTCCAACTAGTAGGTCTTTTTTTTTAAAACTCATGTTGCACCCTTTCTTTTTAGTCTGCGCTCTAGCACTGGATTCCTCTTGGATGGGATCGGGACTTTGACTAGCTCCATATGGAATGCAGGAAAAACTCCAGTAAATGCTGGCTCAAGCACACAGTGAAATAATTTGTGGTCTTTTTTTTCTTGCAGACTATAAGCAGAAGTATGGGGAAGAGCATGGCTCGTGCCAAGCTGGGATAGCGGGAGTTTTTATGGAGGTCAGTAACAGTGCTTGTTCATCTTCATAACACATGTAATCCCCCGTTTCTGTGAGTCAAACAGAGATAGTTGTTCGTTTACACCCATTGTCAAACTCCATCAGTCAGTTCTCAGTGCTTGAAGAGGCTCTGCTGTGCTGTCAGTGCTTTCTTCTCAAATAAGTGTAATGTTGTAAACTCACATCTTCATGTCACAATTGATCAGTTTTAAATAATGATGGAAAGAGGTGAACAGCAGTAGTCTTGACTCAGAAGCTCATCGTTTAGGCAATGCTTTTGGGTATCAAGTTTACAAAGTCAAGCTCTGGCTTTTGTTGGTGAAAATATACTAATGTTCAAATTCAATATTCAAAGAGATATTATCAATTGTTTGGTGACAGTAAAGTAATATTTGCCTGGCTTTCTTTAGTCTGCATTGAAGATTATTTTGCAATTCCCAGATAAAGACATTTTTAAGTACAAATTAAAATTTAAACACTAGATTTACCATTAACTAAAATGTGTTTACCAATGTTGGGTAATGCAATGATTGGTACTATTACAAGTTTTTTTTATACTATGAAAGAAATATGCTTATAGGCTACATGTCTTTTGGATGTCCACTTTTAAATGTAGAACCTTTTTCAATGTCCAACATGTAGCCAGCAACACATAACCTGCATAAAACTTCTAAAGAGACAAGTTAGCCTAACCTTAAAGATATATTCCTTTTTATCAGAGATGCAACACCAACACTTTTTTTAACATCTAAAAAAAACCGTGAAATATGGCTGAATCTGAACTGTAATATTAAGACATTATAGGGGATGCAATGGATATTTAATATGGCAGCTTCTTTTCATTCACGGGGGGATTTGTTATTACTTTCTAAGTCCAAAGATTTTTCCTGTCACCTATGATTTTTTTTAAAAGAGCGTTCCTTTTTCCGGACCTTTGATAGCTGAAAGCAGCACAGTGTTGTTTGCTCTTATATTCAGTTCTATCTCAAACCTGTATGGATGGTTTAAGTGCCATTTTCATGCGTTTCGAGATGCTACTATTTGAAAATGTTCTTTCTCAGCTTTCATTGCAGCGATACCAGTCGATTAGTCTGAAACAGGGGAGAAAACCAACTTTATTTCTAATTCCAGATTAACTGAGGGGCTGTCAAAAGGTTCACTGATAAATAATAAAAAATACATACAAAATGTTTCTGCAAATTTCTCTAACATGTTGAGTTAAACCGAGCACAACAGGATTATTTTAATCTATCTGTTTTCATGTCAGTCTTACATAGTGGTAGATACCATCATCCTTCACTATCTTTCATAATGTGTGGTTTTTCTTCTTAAAAGGCTCCCACTTGAAAATGCAATTGCTGGTAATATTTCCACTGGCCTCAAAAGGATTCTTTCAAAGGATGTTTATTCCTCACATACTTTGTTGATTTTGAATGTGATATTCTGAGGAGGATTAGTAGAGATGTTGTCCATCATGAGCAGAGGGAAGTCTTTACACACTTGTTTAAGATGTCAAATGATGTGGAAAATCCTAATTCTACACTTAGACATACATGAGTATTTATATCAAAGCCACCAGTGCTCTGCTGATGAAGTGCTGATAAGTGTTTTAACTTGTGTTTCCATCACCAAGTCGGAAAGGCTTGGGCTCACGTGACCTCTGGTGTGGTTCCAAACTTGTATGGCAAATTAAAAGTGTCCTTCCTGCACAGTTTTGCTTTCAGAGTGCAATCAACACATGAATGAGAAAAAAATTGATTTCATGTAATATGAACGTTTTCCCTTTATTTACACTGACATTATTGTTGTAACAAAACCAGTGATATTCTCTTGTCTGCCAGAGTAAATGTTTATATTTTTTTAACCATTTTTTGCAGCCTTACACTTATTATGGTTTACAGGGACACTTTCTTGACACTCCTTTAAAAAACAGCATTTCTATCACCCTTGCTGAAATTGGATTATTTCACATGATCAGCCCTAACGTCTTGAAAATCTCATTAGAAGTTCTTTGATGTTTGTTTTTAGTGCTCCGTCAAATAATCTCTGGCTTGCAGAGTGACACCACTTTATAGATCCGTTAAGCCGAAATCATTTTAAAACATCAATACATATATGCTTTGCAGAAAAAATTAAGGCTGTTCCCGCAGCAACCCTACTGTTTTTTAAATATGGAGAATGTCACAGTGGATCTGTTAAAGTATTTGAACGGCCCCCCCTGAAAAGAATTTGAAGAATTTAAAAAAAAGTATCCAACTGTTAAAGCTTTATCCTTGTCTGAACCTTGCTCCTACGCCTGGTGGTGCCCAGATGTTTGACGCCACGGCGCAGCGAAGGCAAACTGCTGAGTAAGGTCCTGACTTTGCTGTTTAGTTTGTTTGTAAGCGGAAAGAAGGTCTCAGTGGTAAATCCACATCATTGCCAAGCGGAGTCGACTGGGCTGATGACAAGGAATGCAGCACCTAGTTTAGTGTGTGTGTGTGTGTGTGTGTGATCAAACAGAGCATCTTAACTGATGTGCTCTTGTCCCCTTGAAAACACCGTGGACATCTCATTTTACGGCTCTCAGTCTTGCTTTTCCTCTGAATTCCTCCTCACATCAAAGCATCCTTCTTCAGTTAGGCCATCTGGATGTGTGTTTAAGAGCAGATAGCACAAACCAGTCTGTGGCCTTTGGTTAACACGTCCACTCGACAGTGTTTTTCTATTTTTTTGTTTCTTTTTTCATTTCAATAACAGACTGACACGATGCACTTATCAGCATGAATACGTTTTTTTCTTTAAATTCTTTTTGATTTTGATTTCTCAGGAGCTAGTTGTGATGGGGGCTCCAGGCTCATATTACTGGACTGGAACGATAAAGGTGTACAACATGACATCTGACACCTTCTACAGCCCAAATAAAGATAACATTGACTCCCACCGATACAGCTACTTAGGTAAGAGCTTCCTAATTGATATGACTTTCAATGGTATATTTATACAGGGCCCATAAATGGATAGTAAAAACATGCTGTAACCAGGAATTCTCTGTGTTTCTAGGCTATGCAGTGACTGCAGGACACTTCTCCTCCCCTAATGTGATCGACATCGCTGCAGGGGCACCACAGCATAGCGGCATTGGAAAAGTAGGGATTTGATCTTAGGCCTGATGTAAAGCAGTGAATCTGAAGCCGTCTCATGTTGCTTTCTACAGTGATTTTTTGTTTCCACTCCTGCACAGGTTTACATTTTCAAAATTGATGGTGCATCTTTGGTGAAGAGTTTTCAAGCCTCAGGGAAAATGGTATGAGCCAGGATGTGGTTTTTGTATTCTTCCAGAGAATTCTGAATGTCCTTCTTTATAAAAGTAGAATACAGTGCATGCAGTGTTGTTTTCAATATAATTTTGTTCTTATTCATCAGAAACCATACAACTGTATTTGTTTGTCTGCCTGAGGACAGATGTAGCGTATTCCTTTGATATAGTGCAGACATTATGCTCTTATAGCTTTGTTGTTAGAACCACACTGTTTTTGTCTTTGCTAGTGTTTAGACAGCAACAGCCATTGAAACCACAAACCAAAAGTAGTGTGGTAGCTGATGCTTTTCATGCAGAGTGAATAAAAGAATGTCACGCTTGCTCTAAGATATAGATAAAATTAATTTTCATTTAATGCTTGAAGAGATTTAAAAGCAGAAATATATCCAGTGAGAGTTTTTCTTGTGCATCAATAATTTGAACTGAAGAACTGCCTGTGATCTGACATATTGCTCTGTGGCTCGACTTGGTTCCAGATGGGCTCTTACTATGGCTCCTCATTGTGTGCAGTTGATCTGAACCAGGATGGCCTGTCGGACCTGCTGGTGGGGGCACCCATGCACAGCCAGCTTCGGGACGAGGGCCAGGTGTCTGTATACCTCAGCAAGGGCAATGTGAGTGGGATGTGTGAGGTAGTGGGAACTTAATACTTTATTTTACATGTCCTCACTCTCCCTGCTCATCCACACTCCTCAGTTTTTTTTTACTGCACTGTCTCAGACCATGTTTATTATAAAGTAATATGAATTCTCCAGTGTACATATTCTATTTAAGAGTTTATGCGAAAAATGCAACAACATATTTCAGATATCCTTCAGATAAAAGACTAATCTGTTTGTAATCTGTATGTATATTCCGGATGCATTGTAATGCATGTGACTTTTTTTAATCTTACCACTTCTGAATATTGATTGTCTATTTCTCTGTGTCTGTTTTTTTAGGGTGTGATGGAGGAGTATGCAGTTTTGAGTGGTGATAATGCTTTCAATGCACACTTTGGAGAGTCCATTGCAGCTATCGGGGACATTGATGATGATGGTTATCAAGGTTAGTAAAAAGACACTTAGAGGCAAAAACGTACGATTGAAAGACATTTTTCATTTGTGTTTTTACATTTTTAGGGCATGTATTTTTTAGATATTTACATTTTAAGCTTTAAGTAAAGAAACATGTGCATCCAAAGTCATGGAGGAAGTGTTTCTAATGTGCACTTTTGTAATGGATTTCCACAATATGGTTAGTTGAGATGTGCACTCAATGTTTAGAAAAAAAAATAAAAACAATTTGTTTTAATTCTAATTGAAGTATAAAGAATATCACCTTCTTTGGAGTGAAAAGAACTTACTAGTGCACCAACACTCAGAGACATAAGTCTGACACTGATTTGGCTTGGAGGGCCGGACTTGGCTTCGGTCTCACTTTCCAGCTTGAGGCTTCTGCCTGGTTTCATCTCGATGTGAAGCACGGTGGGAGGCTAGCAGCCTGGCACAACATGTTTGTGTGTATGTGTGCGTACAGAAAGATGTCTGCTGGGAATTATAAATCATCTTCCAACGCCTCAGTCTTGGATTGCGGAAAGAGCCAGATGTACTTGGTGACTGACAGATGATTATTTACAACTGAACTACTTCCATTTAATTTGAAAGAGCTACTGTCAGTTCACATTTGGCTTCAATGATAATAAAGTTTAATTTAGTCTCTACAGTAAAAAAAAAGAACTGTTGTGTAAGAAACCATTTTTAAAACATTTATCTTTGTGTGCTACACCACGTGGCAAGAGTGATTTACTTTACGAAAGGAAGATTATTACACTTTGTATTAAAATGGGCAGCAGAGTGTCTCAGTGCTACTGCCAGAACTTTATAGTCTTGTTTCCACTTTCTCAGAGGTCGCACAAGTTTTATGGCCACTAACAGCGCTTAATTGGCTATTATGAGTCCTACTTTTAGAGTTTGCTTCCCAGTTGCTGGCTAGCTGAATGTAAACACAGGGATAACTAAAGGTTTTGTGTACATTTACAAATGCACTCTGTCAGTCATGTACTCGATCACTGTTGTGGCATCTTTTTACAGAAACAGCTGTTCTGCTTATTTGTCCCTTCAGATGTAGCCATTGGTGCACCTAAAGAGGATGATTACGCAGGAGCAGTCTACATCTACCATGGGGATGCTGAAGGAATTACAAAGAAATACTCTATGGTAACCAATATAATTTCATCCGACAAGATGCAATGTCACAAAACGATTCAGGTTTCATTATTTGTACATCTTCTGATTTTCTTTGTAGTTTCAGCTATGCAAATCTAATGAAAACCGCTTGGATACTTTTAATCGTATCAAAGGTCACAGATTGAAATGTTGCCATGGGATTACAGCATTGTCCTTCCATTTTATGAAACACAGTTTGAACACACTTGTCAGACTCACCATGGTTAGCCAGTGGTTTTATTTGACCCGTTTTTTTGGACCTGAGAGGAAGAAGCAGCCGGACTGACTTTCCAAACGTCTTACCCATGACAGTGACAAAGTTGAGCTGTTCTGAAGTTAAAAAGAATTTAACCCCTTGTCCTGTTTAACACATATTCTTGTTTTTCCAAGCTCATGGCCATAAGTGTGTGAACTATTATTTTTCAAACAAACAGTGGAAAAACTAATTGTGCAGTGTGCTCTTTTGCCCACATTGGCTCAGATCTATTTGAAGTCTGGTATCATTTGTTCCAGAAACTGTCTGGGCGCAGTGTAAACCCTGGTTTGCAGATGTTTGGCCAGTCTATCTCTGGCAACGTGGACATGGATGGCAATGGATATACAGGTATGGTCATAACAACCTTTCCTAACCACAAACTAAACTGAAAAAAAAACATTAAATGGAAAAACAGTTCTACTCGTGTTCTTATTTTTTCAATTGTAGCTTCTTATTCTTAGGCAGCGGCAGAGTTTCAGACTCGTGATAGAGGCATCTTGTTTACTGCATTCCACTGCTGACAGGCAGGCAGGGCCTGTATGACAGTTAGAGACCTCTGTGCATTGTTCTGAATTTGCAGGTGTAAAGACTGCTTACAGCAGATGTTGCATTGATTTATTGATTTCTTAATGGATTTCCAAATCAATCATGCGTTTGTTGCAGATGTCACCATTGGAGCCTTCATGGCAGACAGCGTGGTTCTGCTGAGGTGAGCAACAGTGTGAGAGTACAGTATTTGTGAGAGGCCAAGTAGCATTTTTTTTTTTTGCAACCTCTCAATCATTTCAAAGTTTCTTCTCACCCACACAGTGTTTCTGGTTGATTCCTGTGGTTGCAGGTCCCGGCCTGTCATTACAGTTGATGTCTCCATCTTCCTACCCCTCTCCATCAACATCTCTGTGCCTCAGTGCCACGAGGGCCACCACAACCTCAACTGCTTCAACGTCACAGTCTGCATGCGATTCAGAGGAAGACAGCTGCCCGGACAAATAGGTGAATCATTATTTTGTTCCTCAACTTTAAATGTTTGACAAATATTTGACATTTTATGAACATGGTGACATACTTAAAATAGCTCCATGGGCATCAGTCCACCTTTCAGCCTTTGCTAACCTAGTCCTGGGTGCTGTGTCAGTGTGGAGCAGAGGTGCAGTCCTGTTCCAGTGTTAGGGTGTGGCCACTCACGGCCTCCCCCCAGGGGAGCCGGAGCCCTGTCCTTACATAATGACTACGTCCTTGCTCGAAGGAATAAAGCCTCTCTGTCTAGCTGTCTGGCCATTACTATGGAAAGTGCGGCAGCATGTGCTCGGTGACTCCCGTAATGAAACCTTCCTTTACCTCGTCTGGAATGAGCTCATGGAGTTCACTCTGCTGCTGGACGACGGAAACAGTAAACCTTAGTCCCAACAGGGTGTGTTTACCACCCCTCCCAGTGTTTTACCAGTGTGACACCCTCATGAGCAAATTACAGAACCACAGAAGAGGATTGATTCATTCAGAGGAGTGGATTTTAAATGGCCACTGGCCCATATATGGTCTTCTCAGAAACATTTGTAATGGTTGACGTCTTACTTATTATTTCTAGAAAATTAAAAGAAGAATGATAAATTTCATGCTTCATGTCTCAGCATAACGTGCATGGAGGGCAATGTTGCTGCTGTTGTGTTGTTTTAAGTTCTTCAAAATATATTCTGGCTGGAAATATTGTTTATTACTTATTACTATGAGAAAACAAGATTCAAGCTTATGAAATTTTCACTTTTTTAAACTTCACAACCCAAGTTATTTTTCATGTCCCAATGATCTGACCAAAAAATCTTCCCACCCTCCCTCTAATTCATTTTAATTTTACTGTAATGGCATCATTTACTTTTTCTTCCCATCATTCGATAGCAGTTTCCAGAAAACCGAGCCCCACATGCTTTAAGTGTTTCTCAAATTTGTCTTTACTCAAAAATAACCACCTCTTTCGGCAGATGTGTGAGATGATTTCTTCCATTTTTCAGAGTTGCTGTACAACTTGACAGCCGATGTGGATAAGAAGCAGAAGGGTCAGCCCTCTCGAGTTTACTTCGCTCAGAGTGGATCTCAGATCACCCAGCTGAACCAGCAGCTGAGCCTACACATAAACAGAGAGGAGTGCCAGCACTACACGGCCTACATTAAGGTAGGTTTGGATGCTGTGTTTCCGCTGTGTTTGTGCTTCCCATGTCCTCAGCTGGTCTCTCAGCTACTTTCCCACGACACCCAAAGCTCTCGCCCTGCAGTGCTGATTTGTGATATGAATTATTTGCTTATTTTAGAGATTTCCCTTTTTATCTTTATTTATGTTGTTTTTGGTTGGAGAATCAAAGTCAGTTTATTTCCAGCAAAAATGGTTGACATAGACCAAACAACTACAGAAATAAAATGTCAAGATATAATAAGAGCGGTGGCATCACTCGTAGTGTTTGGAGAACAGGCGGCTGTGGCGGGAGGCCACATAGCAGCAGTCATCTGCTGGGGAGGCTATTTGTGTCACCCTGCTGGCTTAGGTTAAAGGTAACCGTCAGGAGCTCTATGGGCCCTGACTCCATGCTGCTCCAGTGTGCCCCTCCAGAAACAGAAAACAAGAGTCTCCTTTGTTATTACATAGTCCCTCTACTGTGTTCCTCTGTGTTTTAGTCTCGTGTCCACGGAGGCTCCTCATCCTGAGGGCACCATCCATGTTTCACCTCCTCTAATACGGAGGCCCACTACTGGCCAGTAAATTTCACTGGCCTCTTTAATGGTGCTCTTGAGGCGATTTCTCTGTGGGGGGTTGATCTGCCAGCTGAGGGAGGCTGTCAGTACTGTGCTCTCCTCTTTTCCCTCATCCGTTCAGGCAATTATCAGCGCACAGTGCTCAGACCAGTTGTAGCTCCTCTCTTGCGCACAACACCCACGTCACAGTAATCCAGATTTATTTTTAGGGAGTGTGGTCCATTTAACCAGGTTAGTTTAGCTCTTATGAGGATCTTAACACTTCAAATTCAACATTCCCTTCTCTCCCTTTGAGTCTTACAGCATTAGAAAGAGTTTAATTTGCATAAAATTGTGTTTCTGCCTATGATAAATCTAACATTTCAACACACAGACGACTATCTAAAGGTCTGTGTGTGGCCAAATGAATTATCACTGTCATAGCTCGTAGGTGCCACATAAATGTGGCATCTCTAGCTGTGACATAAACACATTATTACTTACAGAGCCATCCATCAGTAGTGGTTTTACCTCAGGGAAGAAGTCTGACTCTGTTTCTCTGTTGGGTAGTTCAGGCGCTAAAATAGCTGGATGAAAATACACTTTGATGTTGGAAATGAAAAGTAGGGGAACTGACAGTCAGAACTCTGTCCCAGTATTCTCCAGAGGTGCATCAAAGGCATTTTGTTCCCGTTGCAGGCCATACTAACTGCTTCCTCCTGTTGTCATTCTTTACGCATAATGTCTTCAGGCACCTGTCTCGTTCATAGGGAGTTTTTTTTATCATCTCCTTTTGCTCTGGACAAGAATACAAATAAAGGAGTTTTTAGCAATTTTGGACTTTTATTATGGTAAACTGTAAATATCTGAATTCGTAATTCATGAATGTCTCTTGTGGTGACATTTTTTAAAGTTTTACTACAATGTCAGTTGTAATAGAATTGTCAGTGTGTTCACCAATGGGGAGCCAAAGGGATCGCTATTTCTTGCTGTACGTTGGAATAAATTCCACCTGCTGAAACCACACAGAAATGTAAAGGTGTGATGGCCAGATTATAACCTTACCAGACTGTTTATGGGCTGAATGGCCTTAAATGTGTCTGAAAGTGAGCGTGACCTGCGACTACAGCACAGCATGATTATGGTCTTGACATGAGATTTTGCTCGTTTAGTTCAATCTGTTAGTCCTTATCTGGCGAGGAGAGCTCGAAAAATCCCCATAATCAGAGGTGATTTGGCTCTGCTCTCTCATTGAGAAGGTCTAGTCTGCTTGACCAATCACATCGTCTATCTCCTTCATGTGTCTGTCCGCATGAGCTAGTCCTCTCATTCCTCAGAAGAGTTATGCTAATGGAAACCAGCTGGTTGCTGGACTACATCCTCAGAATGGGGAGATTGTGTGCCCCCGCCTCCACCCAGTTTACAACCAAAGCGTACAGTGAAAACACACAGCTTAGAGTAACGTCTCAACAGGGGGCTCGCCTGCCGTTGTGTTAACTGTAACTGCTGATGGAAAACTCTCACGTCAGGGTTGATTGCTCAGGCCCTAATGCACAAGGGCTGGTGGAGGGAGGCCATGAGCTATTCTGAGCCACTCTCACGTTTATAGTAACTGTAGCCATCTGTCAACCTGTTTGTGGACTTCAATTAAACATTTTGAAAGGACCTCAAATAAAGAGAATATGCAAGTTATTGTTTTCGTTCTATTTTTCTAATTTAATTTTTAACAGTCTCAAGGTTCTGTCTGCAACAAAGCCTGACTGAATAGTATTTGGTTTCCAGTGTTTGTTTTCAATTCTTATTTTCTCGCAGCTAATTAGCTAGTTATAATTTCTGTATACAATCACCTGCTATGAGCACAGCATCCCCAGAAAGCACATACAGGACAAAGGAAAAGAAAGGCTTAGAGGTAGAATTCTAGAAGTTAGTAAATCCGAAAAAGGAATGCTTTTAAGGGAATACTGTTTTAAATAGACACAAAGGAAAACAGAATCCATTCATTTTTTTATGTTTCTCTATTTACATATTTTCAGCTTTAATACAGCAAAGTTTCTCCATTGGACAATAAGTAATGGAGCTGGAAATTACTGTGATAGGTCTCTAAAAAAAAAAAAAACGAATGCCTTAAAGTTGTGTTTGCTGCACACGCAACAAGTGCTCTCAATTTTCACCATCTAAATCCAAGCAAAAAAACTGGAGCTGCCACTCACCAAATCATGAAGTACTAACAACTCCAGAGCACAGAAGCTAATAGTGTCAATTTTTCTTCAAGTGGAATTCCATTCCAAATCATGCAAGTCTTTCATGTTGTTCATTTTGAGCATGTTTTCTTTGGCATTAACCAACAGCATATTGGCCCTCCAGATGGTCTTTGTTTGGTTATTTGGAGCTAAATAAACCCTTTGCTGCTTTTCACTTAAGTCGTACCTCACAGAGAGGGGAAGCAGTGACTGATGGATGATGAGAGGCTCAGATTATCAGAGGTGCTGTGCAAGAGTTGGACATGACTCATTTAACAACAGGACTAGCTGGAATTTTTCAGCTTGATGTATAGTTATTTGATACAGCCAGATTGTTGTAAATTTCTTGCAGAGTATCGTATCTTATCTTATTGTGCTCGTGTTTCATAGTGAAATAGTTTAATATAATTCATACTGAAGGCAATTACATTTAAGGAACAGCGAGGAACATGTTTTTATTTGCAGTCTTTCATAAAAAAATGTTTTGGGCTTTTAGTGAATTAATTAAATCCCAAAAGCATTCTCTCTTCAGTTGTATTTTAGTAGTATCTAAATCCTTATATACAATATATGGGTTGACTGGAGAACATCAGGGTGTATACTTTTAAAGAGCAACAGGTGTAATGTTTACACTGTGATGTATGTTTTACAGTAAGCTCTAAAGTATTCATTATTTATTCTGGCAGGTACCACTTGAGTTCAGCCTGACGGCTCACTTGGCTTGATTTATCCCTTGTATAAGTAAATACTGTGTGGGCATTCCTTTGGTAGATGTTCTGCGCTCCATCCGTGTTTACGTCGCTGGACATCCATCCATCGCCATACATGTTTTTACTCTAGCAGTCCCATTACACTGGAACCCACGTGAGCCTTGAAGTTCTGCCAAAAGCCAGTTCCATTTGTGGTTGAAGGGCTTTGTGCAGCACTGCAGACCCATCAAGCTCTCCAAGGAGGAGCTAAAATAGGCAGCTAAGGCTCTCCCTGTAACAGTTGTGTGTTTAATTTAGCTGGTAAAGCATCCTGCACACTCGCCCCCACTGTCCCCTGGCCTATATTACACTGTGTCCTACATGTATGTCTCATGCCATCCTAACATTTGTTTGGCACCACTGGAGTATTTAAAGGTCCATCAGATGTTCTTTTACTGGCTGCTGCTGTTACTGAGGAATCTATGAGATGAAGAGCTAGATGTATCTGTCAAAGATAAAAATTTGCAGCTGACCTTTCCGCTCTCATATGTCTGGATGGAAATCTTGACAGTGCAGTGCAATGCATGAGATTTCCATAAAACATAGATGCTGTGAGGTCATAGATGGAATCAGGGTACCGACTGGCAGCCATGCGGCTCATATAGCGACATGTCAGCAGACAGTTTTGTTATCCTATGTGCAAAATGCTTCAACCTTTTCACTATGCTCAATGGCATTCTGTCAGCCTGATTTATACCATTCCTACAGCTGTGTAGATCTACCACAGAACGATGCTGGTGGACCACCTTTAAAAAAGCCGTCTCTAAATGTGGTGTGAATTCACAAGGTTTTTGATAATGTTATTTGATTATGCTTTTTAGAGCAGTAATGGCAAAAAATGATCACAAGATGCAGAGTCTCACGTGAACTTTCATCTTTAATTTGCTTAAATGATAGCAGACTAATATCATTAGGGTCTTAAGAGAAGATTCTCCTCTCTACTAAACAGTTTCATAGGGAGGTGGACCAGTTGATGTGTCAGTGGCTCGCTTTCTTGAATCCAACTGGTGTTTTAACAGGCATTTTGTGTTAACATGCGATGAGATGTGACTCATGCCATGTGAATTTGCACCCCAGACGATTTAGACAATAAAAGAGAAATGTCTGACGGCATTTTTCTGTGACTGAAAGATTACCTGATAGTGTTTGACCTGCATTTAGGGGTGGAATCTGCTAAACTCCCGCTTAAAGTCTGGAAAAGATAATGTGAAAGATCAGCCACGCTTAGGATTTGACCCCAGTCTGATCTCCACAGACAAACAGGAAACCCAGGAGAGTAACGTGAAGCAGTAGTTCCTGTCGCTGCATCCCAAACAGTCCTCAGAGACACAAAGTCCCCGAACCTCAGCGCTGTTTGGCACGTGGAAACCGAGAGCCACCGCCACACTGCTTGCTTTGTTTGCTTCCCCAAGTTCAACAGAAACGTGCTATTCCCTCGACACTGTCCCCCCTTTTCATTCAGCTCGGGCCAAGCGAGCTGATCCAGTGAAAGTATATAACAGGAAGGTAATCAAATCCAGCTGTCTTCTGTTACACATGGCGGCAAGTCAAGCACCTATTTATAAAGTATATAATAAAAACTACTGAAAAAAACGCAAGCAGTGCACTGTGATGATAAATCAAGTTGAAAATGTCATATATGGTGTCATAAAGAAGTTGTGCTTAATGCTTTGGCTGCAAGTAACAGTGTTAATAGCATTTACAGGATACCAAAGAAGAACCATTCCAGTTAATTTTAGCTCAGGGTAACATTTTCATCAGGATTTCCCTACATGGTCGCGCCAACAAGAATATCAGACAGTTCCTCTCTAGGGTTGTTTCCGCAGTGCACAGGCTTTTGTTACAAGTCAAAGTTTTCACGAGGTTCCTCTTTTGCATGAGCATGCAGGCTGTAAGCGAGGTATTATTTTTGGTATGACTGTTCATTAGACTTACTCTGTTGCTATAGTAAATCCATAGTTGCTACACATTTAAAATCTGGCCAAAGCTTGGGCAGATTTGAAGATTTGTTGATTTTGGCAGCTTTGCTCGCTGGGCAGAGTGTTCCTGCAGTCTTTTGGCCGCATCGCTGCCACACGATGCCACCACAAGGCAACTTAATGGGTGGCCAAGTCTGACCACAATGAAAGAGTTTCTCTGGCCATGATTCCCACTTCCACTACAAGGGAAACACACAGTGTTCAGTGGGAGCACTAGAGGAATCATAAAGCCCACAGTCTAGCGGGGCGCTGTTATCATTTGTTATTATGTATATGTGGTGGCGTCAACATCAGATTCCTCTTCCTGTATGCACAGACAGGATAAACTCAGAGGAAATTCAGCAAATATTGATTTGACACAAGACAAATGTTTATGTCCAGTGGAGACTGTGTCCGACATGGCCCTCTTCAGGTAAATCTGACAAATGTGCGTTTTCGTGCTCCAATTTTATCAGGGCTTTGTCTGAAAACAATGGCTCCAACAATAATAGCACAGTAAAAGAGCCCTAGATTTGTCCACAGTGACGAAATGAGCAGCAGGAAGCATCTGGAGACCTCCTCTATCACCAGGATGGAGCAGACACAAAACACACTGAATAACACCCTGAACTCCTGCGTTTCTAAACTGCACATTTTGGGCTGCCTCCAGCTGATATCTCATCCATCAGATACACGTTTTCCCATGAGACTCAAAAAACGTTTTAAATAAATATCTGTAGTTACAACATATTAGTCGAGCGAGAACTTTGAACTCTTTAAAGTTATTCTCCATCTTTTACAACAAGTGCTTTTTTCTTTTCTTTTGCAAATTCTTGTGCAGAAATGCAGATGACATGGTTCCTGTTTATGCACAGAGTAAATTTATCTGGATCTTAACGGAAGATCTTTTTTTCGAGGCAGGAAGTCCTCAAATGCTTGTTGTTCTTTCGAAACAACAACAAAATGAATTAATAGAGCTGATGTTTTTAGTGAGACAGGTTTTTAAGCGGAGCCCAGTAAATCGTTATCTATAACTGAATATTTCCCCACAGAGCGATATATTTACCCTCCTTCATTTTATCTTTAAGTCAAACAAAATCCCAAGTAAAATAAAAAATAGGTAGATTTTTACCATTAAATGCACCATCATTGGCTTTGATAGCTGTTAGTTAATGTAAGAAATAGATCTACAAATATGTGAATTCACTTTCCATATTTGATTAATAAATTACAAACTGTTTGGGCTTCAGCTACTAATTTAGAGTACTTCTCTTGTTTTTGCATTAGTAGCATTTGTCTGTTTCTTCGATCATAGTGCAGACATATACATTCCTTCTGTTTGAATCCTAATTCCAAAATCCCAAAGTTGCTTCCTTATAAGGATCTCCTCTGGATTCTGCTTTCTGTCTTTTTGTGGGGGGATGGACCATTTTGGAAACTCCATGTCAGTTGCATAAAATCAGGACCAGGTTATTAAGTGGTTATCTCGACAAATGCAGGATCATTTCTGAAGTTCTGTCGGGAGTTTAAGGAATGAATAGTATTTGTGGACATATAGAAATAGTTTGCCCTTACTTTTGTTCCTTTGCTGCTCGGTTTATTTTACATCCATGGTCATTCCAAGGAATTAAATCTTGGCGTCATGTCAGGTGTAATTGTGATACTGAAAATGGAACAGAAACAGATAATGTGTTGAAAACATCACAGTGTGGGAGCAGAGTGAGGAGGAACTGAGATATGCGGGAACACATCTGTGTATTTATAGGCGACTGGCTAGATTTCAGGTCCAGATATTACAATAAAGCAGTTATAGTTAGCGTTGGCGTTAAATCAAGTTATTGTTGATAGAATGTAGTAGAAATAACACGCTGATGAATTTGGTATGTTTGAGAAGCAAACCAATTCCATGTGCCTATTTCCACCAGGGAAGTGAGGCACCTTTTTCTGCTCCTTTATAAATCCCAGCTGTGGCAGTAACTGTCCAAGGGTCAGATGCTGAATGCCTCTTCGTGATGCATATGAGACCATAAAAGTTTCCTGTAATTTGTGTTTACGGGAGCATTGTTTTAAAAAGTGATAAATTCAGTGCACTCTAATTCTTGAGAGAGAAAGGAATGTCTTCTTATCTGTGTCCTCTCATTCTTTATGTTAAAAAAAGGGCGGTTTCGGTAAAAATCTGTAAAAATAGCTATGAGTTTTGGCTTTTGGGCTACAGAGGAAGATTAGTTTGTTAGAAACAATCCTCGAGTTGCATGCAACAGTTACTGCACAGGATTAAACATATTTTGGGATACGGCCTCATGTATAACGGAACACATATGTCCATGTTTCATGTCTGTGTCACAAGGAAGAAATGAGTGTTTGTTCATGGTGAGAATTGCAACACCCCAATGCAGAAAAATGAGTCAATATGAGTCAGTATTCATTTAGAATTGAGACAGAAACGAAGAGATGAAGCATTGGTTTGAGGTAAAGAAATGTAACACACATCAGCTCTTTGAAGAGCGCACTACTTTTCTCTTTTTTCCACGTTGATATACAGATATAGTAACTACTTTAAGGGTTAGGGATGTGTGCAACAGTGCATTGTCAGCAACATAGTTGTCCAACCCTGTGAATCAACTTTATTGTTTCATTGAAGCCAACTTAGCTTATTAAGTAGAACTATCATTAGAGTTTTTGTTAGCTTTTTTTACACTATGTACACTGACATTTAAATCCTTTCTTCTACTTTCATTGCAACCCTTTATTTCAGTTTGTTTTTGCTCTCCGAACAATCTGTTTTGCTGCAAGATTGTGTGATTTATCAGGTTTAAGGCTGAAGCTGGACAGAGATCTGAGAATCAGTGCTTCTTCTTCCAACATCACACAGAGTAAAATCTTTTCTAGTGAGCTGGTCTTCTGGCATTTTCATATTACTCTGAATCTTTTGGATTTGGAAGGGTGAAGGTTTTTATAGTCTTTTTTTTTTTCTGATTTTGGCACTGGCCAGTATGTGCATGCTAAGTTCCATCGATTCCTTTAATTGTTTCAGATGAAGCAAATTATGTGATAATAACTAAAGCGACAAACAGACAATATTACTTCAATACTTCAATTGTGATCACATATTTCCCAGTTCCCCCAACTTTAAATGATCTATTTGCTACCTTTCTGTCTGTTAGCTGTTAAGTAAAAAAGATAAATTCCCAGTTAGGTTCACCTCTGATCCAGTTCAAGTTGTGACTTTTTCCAATGTGAATAAGTTCAGGCATGACAACTTATTGAGTGTTAGGAGGATCACAGTCTGGGTAAAGACCAACTATTTTGTAACTTTGACCACATGATGGAACCTAACCTCACTTTGATCTACAATTTAAAAAAATACCCATCAACAGTATAAACATTGGTCATTGCTAACAGAATTGATGTTTTTATTCATGTGGGCTGGTTTGAGGCACAGCACGCAGAAAAATGACAGCTCACCACCCTTTCAGACACTAACGGCAGACAGAGCAGACATTGGATTTTTTAGCATGTCAGGATTCAGATATTTCCTTTACAGATTGGAGAAAAGACAGAAGACATATTTGGCTCAATCCATTAAACAGCTTGTTAAATATACAATTTCAGATGAATGTCAAATAGCTCTATATCCTCTGGATGTGCACTGCTTTGTTCACAAAGGGAAAAGAAAATAGTTTGACACATACTAATTCACTCTGATCATTTTTCAGGTCTACCAGTTCTATTGCCCTCTATTTGTTTTTTCTTCATATTTTTACTACAGGTTTTAGAAACAAAAAAACACTATCATTCAAAGTGCCTGGCATGAACCCCTAAACCTGATTTTGGTTCAAATTCATAGTATGGTTCAAAATTAGGTTTGTGAGTCAAAAAACCTGCTCCACATTTAGAGAAAAGAAATATTGATGCAAGTAGCATAGCAAGAGTCCTTAACAGATCCACGGCCAGATGTTTCTTTCAAAATTCATTGACTGTTTAAACAGTTTTGGGGGATGCCAAAATAAAGCAAGCAGAAAAGGGAGTATTTGATGTGTGATCACTTAGAGACAAAGCTCCAGATTCATGTGATTTCAAGTGCTGTTGTTCCCAATGATCAACTGTAGCTAAAATGAGTCAGCAATGAATAATAAAGTTTAAGAAAAGAATCCTCAAGATGAAGAAAAACACGTTAGTCAATAAAAGCACAACAGTGGGTGTAAGATCTGACCTGCAAGCATAACTGCTAGAAACCACCAGGGCTCATTCTCCCAAACCAGTCTTTAACAGTGTCCTTCCAGGAAGCTGTATAGATTGAAAAAATATCTATATCCTGCCACCGATAACAACATTCTGAACTGAGGAGTTGCTCCCTGGGGAATTTTAGCAGGATGTGTGGGGTGATTGTCAGATGTGTCTCAAGTCCGGTGCAGATAAGAGAAATTAAAAAACATTTAACAAACGATTAATAAAATAAAAGTATAATAAAAGTACTCAGTTCAATATGTTTGCAAGCTGTTTGATTTCTTCAGAGGTCATTTCTGGTTTAAAAATAGGAAATGACAGATCTTTCCTTTTATGAAACTGTGGTTAAGACATATTCCTTCTGCCATGACACATCACCCAGAAGATTTGGAAGCTTGAGGATCCTTTTCTCCAAAAAGGAAAAGCTCTCTACGTAAAACAATTGGGCAACTTTCCTACTCCCACACACTTTGTCATCTGAGGCCTTCCAACATCTGCAAACCTAGTCTTAGCTGAGCAGCAGTGTGACCTGAAGCCACTAAAAGTTTCAGCAATTTTCACTAATATTTCTGCAGCTTTCTGTTAAAGGACAAGCCAAGATTGATTTTTTAAGGGCACATTTGCCACATACACACGCTTTTCCACTATTACCCTAAAACAATTTCAATTCAAAGTTGTGTTTTGTACCCAGATAATCCTTCCTCTGGGCCAATCTGAACCCATTCCTCATTTAACTAAAAAGCTTTTTCCATTTTAACTTAGACTCACTGGTATTCAAATGGCCTCAACCTGTGAGTCACCCAAACATGTATTGTCCTAAAAAGGAGTGCTCCGTGTGTGTGTTTTCCTCATGAGTTACTAAAGACTTCCCATGACCAGGCTTTAGCTACATGCTTTTGTGGGAACGGTTTGGCT